CTCAATAGCCAAAATCCAAACCCCAAACTTTCTGATAGCTTGAATATTAGTCTCAAGATAAACAACCATAATTATGCCCTTTGGGCTCGGATGATCTGAGTTGCTATAGGAGGTAAATCCAAAAGACTGTTAAGCCATCTTTCAGGAAATCCATTAAATCCTTTGGATGAAGGGTACGACCAATGGGAACAAGACGACTTAGTTGTATTCTCGTGGCTCATACAAAACATAGAACCCGCCCTTGCCAGCAATCTTACTGAGTTTCCCACTACAAAAACATTATGGGATGCCATGGTCGTTACTTATAGCAGTGGGAAAGACAAACTTCAAACCTCTGATTTACACGTCAAAGCAAATGAGTTTAAGCAGAATGGTTCGCCCCTTGAAGACTTTTGGATTACTTTGCAAGGTATATGGGGCGAGATTGAACGGATGGATCCAAATCCAATGACTTGTGCAATCGACATAGCAACGTATAACAAACTCAGGTCAGAACAAAAACTCTTCCAATTTCTAAATGCCCTTGATCGACAATTTGATCCTATAAAAAGAGAAATACTTCGATGAGATCCTTTACCCTCGCCAGAGGGAGCCTACGCGGCTGTTAGGAAGGAGATGGCGCACCAAGGAATTCTTGGAACGACCTATCGAACCTCATCATCACAGTCCGGCGTGGCGGCGGGACTTGTTGTCGGCGGATTAATTGAAAACAATGGGCTAGGGCTAGTTACAAGTGGGTAACAACGCCGATCAGGCTCCATAGGAAAGTCATCATCTCGGGTTGATAAGTCAAAACTAAAGTGTGATCATTATGGTATGCTCAAACACACTACAAACCAGTGCTTCAAATTGGTTGGTTACTTGGTTATCCTGAGTGGTGGAATGACGGACACAAGAAGGCAAATAAAACAACTGGAACATATGGGGGGAAGGTGGACGTCGCCGTCGAAAATAAGAACACCACCAGCAACGACGTCGACCAACCAAGAAATTATGAAGAAAGAGGGTTTGGTGGTATTGCTTCCAGTGCACGAGATGAAGGAGTAGCCACAGGTAGAGTGTAACGCCCCAATTCTCAGGTATTGATTTTGTTTATATAAGATTTTTTCTTGATTTCAAGGCCTACTCGAGGAGTTGGGTGCCCGAATCGTCGAGTAGCAGCGGGTTGGTCTGCGTGTTTAAGTGACCTACTCGTCGAGTCCAAGTAGGGACTCGACGAGTAGGAGCTGGAGGATGAAACCCTAATTTTCGGGGTTTGGCACCCTATTTAAAGGATCATTGGCCTCCCCAGCCTCCCCTTCACATCCCCTTGACATTTCAAAACCCTAATTCGTGTGTGTATGCTTCTTTGGTGTATTTAAGCTTTGAGGAAGGATTTTTGGAGAGAAAAGCTTGGGGAAAACAAGTGATTAGAAGCAAGGAACTCGTGGGAATCAGAGATCTACTTCAGTTGGCACCCTTTTGAAGGTATTAAGCTGTTATCTTGGCTCATTTCTTCCTAGATCTCTTTTGGGTGTTTTTCTTTGGAATCCTTTCTTGTGTTTGACCTAAGATCTGAAGTTGCAACTTCAGATCTGAGCTCTTCTTGGTCTCTAGGTCCATAAAGTTACCAGCTTTGACAAGTATGAGCTTTCCCTCAAGTGTGAGACTTCTTTATAAGCTTGGTTTTGTCATTTTAAGACTCTAGAGCTTTGCATGCACGTAAAGTTTGCAACTTTACGTGATAAACATGCCTTGGAAAGCTGGATCTGCATTATGGAACCTTAACATGGCTTAAAAAGCATCTGTATGGATGAAGGACTAAAGGGACTCGGCGAGTTGGATGGTCAACTCGGCAAGTCCGATGAAGATTGTCGTAGACTCGGCGAGTCAGCTAGGGTTTTCCCAACCTTTGGACACACGTGAACTTTGCGAGTTGCAAGGGTAACACGACGAGTTGGCCAAGGAGTTCACGACCACCAACATTAGGAACTCGACAAGTCACTCAAGTGACTCGGCGAGTCGGCGAGTTATGCAAGGAACTCGGCGAGTGGCTGGTTGTACTCGACGAGTTCAGGTCAACATGGACTGTTGACTTTGATTTTGACCAAGGGTTGACTATTGGACTTCTGGGGCATTTTGGGAATTTATGAACATGGTTTGATGGTAACTATAGGTGGTGGAGTTCGTGTCGGTGATCCGAGAGGTTGAGCTTATCTTTCGAGTCGACAGTTGCGAGGTGAGTTATCCTCACTATATCAACAGGGTCTAAGGCACCAAGGCCGACCCTTTATGAATTGTATCCGGATTATGGCATGATATGTTATTGATTACATCCTGGCAGTTAGGATGGTGATATGCTTATGCTTAGTGACATGGTTAGGTCAGTGTCCTGGTTATAGGATGATGTTATGTTAGTGACCGGTTAGGTCTATATCTCGGTTATTGGGATGTTGCTATGATTAGTGATCTGGTAGATTGGTTTAACTGTTATATGATATGAGCTAGCGTATGATATTTATGTGCACATGTTTTTTTGGTTGGGGGTTGGGTTGAGGCGGTTCTGCTTTATGTTGTAGGCCAACATACCCGGCGGGCGGTCCGGATAGGCTGTAGGCCCTGCGAGGCGGTCCAGTCATGCCGAAGGCTCGGGAGCGGTCCAGATAGGCTGTAGGCCCTGTGAGGCGGTCCAGTCAGGCTGAAGGGTCATTATGCATGCTGTTTTGTCTTAGTTGATACGATATGATTATGGTTATATGAGGTTGGTATTTTGAGGAAACTCACTAAGCTATCGGACTTACAATTTTAGTTTATTGTTTCAGGTACATCGGGGGATCGCGGCAAGGCGAAGGCATGATCGTACACCCTGCATCCTCCTTTACTTATTTTGAAAACCTTTTTAAAATCATTTTAAAAATCCTTTCCTTGATTTGAGACTGGAGTCACACGAGTGTTCCTCCAATTCACTCAAACCAAGACTCTGATACCAACTTGTAACACCCAAAAATTTAAGCCAATTTAAAACTTTCCAAAACATTAAAAACCAATAGTTATTACAGATTTGTTTTCAAAATAGTCTATATTAGCATGGGTAAAATGGCCATTTTATCATTAGAAGGATTCTCAGTTTTCTGACTAAGTATTATTGTATAGAATTAGCCGGGGAGTCGTGGGAGCAGCCAGCAGAGATTCCTCACGTACGAGTTCAACATCCAGTTTGAGAGGTGAGTTTCCTTCAGTAGGAACGGGTCTACGACACCAAGGCCGACCCGTAGTATGATTATGTTAGTAGCTGAGTGTGGGCGAGGCCCGTATCTCCCAGTTAGCCGAATGTGGGCGGGGCCCGTATCTCACAACTTAGTTTGATTATGGATATATGCCTGATTGATAGAATTAGTTCTACTTGATGTCTGTGTGATACTTGCATATATGTGTAGTAGCTGAGTGTGGGCGGGGCCCGTATCTCCATGAGTGTGGGCGGGGCCCGTATCTCTTAGTAGCATGTTATATGTGTATGCTATGTGATAGTTTGGGGAGACTCACTAAGCTTCATGCTTATAATTTCAGTTTTGGTTTCAGGTACTTCCGGTAGCAAGGGGAAGGGCTCGGGATGATTGCAGCGCACACACCATATGTTTCAGCCTGGGATGTTTATACTCTGATATTTTGATATACATTGATATGATGTTTGAGATATTATGACATGTGTTTAGATAATTATGATTTATTTAATATTTTAAAACGAAAATTTTGGTCTGTATACTTGGGATGTTTCAATAACACCATATAATGGCATATAAGTGATGGTATCAAATTATTCCAATCACAATAATATGCATGTATAGATAACATCACCTATGATTTTTGAATGTTTTTATTTGTTGTGTTGAATCCTTGAATCATACATACATACTATCATAACTGATGTTAATGTATGTATGCCGAATATTTTATAAGACAAATACATAATTTTTAATGTCCATGTTGAACTAATGATTTCCTTCGTTGTGATGAATATCTGATAGATAACAACACCATGTATGACATATGAGTAATGGTATGCGATTAATATAATCACACCATGTGATGACAAATTATTCTACATAAGTAATGGAATATGAGTAATGTTTTTCAATTATTCTAATCAGAACGATATACTATGTAATGTGTAATGTAACAACAATATAATAAAACATGACCAAATGCCTCTTTTACTTCATGCAAAACTAGCCCAAATGCATCTTTTACTTAACATGCTATTGAAAAGGAGGTTGTAACTAACATTAACCTTTCACTAAGATAATCAAAATAAAAACCCAACGATAAAACATGTTGCAAGCTCCAAACATCAACATGGTCACACATTTCCCTACGATGCCAACACAAATCTTACAAACAAGCATAAAACATACAACATTATACTTAACAATAAACATACTATTGGTCTAACCATAATAATATACAATGCTATCCAAATTTAAACAAAATCATGCTAAAAAGCCATCTCCATCCATTTGTGTTTGAAAAAAAAAATTCAAATTTAAAGAAAACTATGATGAAGCTAATAAGAGCAGTAAACAATGCATCAATTTACACTAATTGTGACTTATATTTTGAAAGTATGCACCTATTCTTAAACATGACTTAAGTCGTGAGAAAGAGGAAGTGATACATTAGACTCGTTATTCATTTGAGATTTTTATTAAACAAGTAGAATGAATAGATAGTTTAAAAGAATCTACTCAATAACAATAATTGTTTTGTACATACCTCGGAATAACAATGATTGTTTTGTACATACCTCTGATTAGCAGAAGGTTGCTAAGTTCCACACCGTCTAGCTTTTTTTTTTCCTCTGGGCTAGAAGCCCTTTGGTCACTCCGTCTAGCTAATGGTAGTTTTTGTGTTTATCCCAAAACAAAATTAGTTGAGGGCTACTCACTTAGCAAACATTAATGACATTTGGTTGCCGGTAGCGGTGACATACCTATAAAATATTATATATTTCTGCGTAGTCTGTACCGAGCCACATCACTGCTCTCACCTAAACCTGCCCTTTCCTACTTCCTTCCGCGTCGCAACTCTCAACCCCAACTCCGTTTCATTATAAACACTCACAAACCCTTAAACAAATCATTTTCCCGTTTCAATCATTACATCTCCTTGCAGGGTAATATATTTCATCAATTCTTTGTAATCATCTGCAAAACCAACTCTGAAACGAGGGAGGAATCTAAACATGGTAGAAACAAGGCGCACCTCATCTTCTTCGAAACGCACACTCTCATCACCATGTTCTTCTCCGCGCTCTACAGGCAAAAGATCTAAGGTATTGTTAATGGCCATTATAATCCAAATTGTGAAGACCTAGGGTTAACAAAACCCTTGTTATTGTCGAATTGTGTTTGGAATTGGTTCAATTTTCTTACGGTTGGTGGTGGCAGGCTGCGGAAGGGGCATCGTCGTCTACTACAAGCTTACTTGAAGAGCCAATTGATGCAGTGGCGAAGGAATCAGGCGTGTGTGAGTCTCAAGAACAGGAGGTCCGGTCGGCTGATCCGACTAAGAAAGAGATCGATGCATGTGGTGACGTTGTGCTTACTAATATTCTAGATGAAAAGTCTCCAGTTATGCAAGTGGATGGCGAACCGTTGGTGTCACCTATGTCTTTAGGTGCTTTGAAGTTTTCATCTTTCATTTTCTCATTGCATGTCTTATAAAATCTTTGTTACTGTTCCTACCTTTTATTCTATATGGTTTTTAGGGGATTCTGTGATCGACTCAGAGATGACTGAGACCAATGGTGGTTCAACGGTGTTAAATCGCTCCAAGAAAAGACAGTCAAAACCTAATGTTGGGGTTGCATGGGGGAAGCTTCTTTCCCAATCCTCTAAGGTTATATTTCTAAAGTTATCTTGCAATTCTAAGTTTCTAACTCCACTCTTAGTATTTATCAAGACATGAGCAAACGATTAGACATATTAGGGGTTATATAGAGCAAATTGGTACATATGTAAAATCATTAGTTAAAGTAGTAATACCAACTTGTAACATCAATAAAGATAACGTGGGACATTGTCTTATTAGAAGTCTCAATCATTCTTGATCTTCTATAACTTTAGAAAACCCATACCCTTACCATCACACCATAAAATGATTTATCAAGTTCTAGTTTCTACTGCGTTTAGATTTTTCCTTGAACTTGTGAAATAAGATTTTCACCATTATGTCTTTGTGCTAGTATTATGATTTTTGATTTTTTTTTCCATGGTACATATCACAATGTTTAGGTCTCTACTTCTTCACTTTGTGAAGAAACATGCAAGGATCGCTTCTTGTCCAAAAGTCGACTTCTTTCATGTCACATGACAATGAAGAGAGTTTAAGATTTTGCTTGGTAGATTCACGAGACATTAGGATTTCATTAGATGTTGCATCTTCTGTTAAAAGAGCCACATTGAAATATTCACATAGCTTGTAATTTTGGGTCATGGTACTCTTTTGCTCTTTTCAAGCGAAGTTCATTTTTAATACCATATAATTTGCCCATCTATGACCTTTTGTAACATCCTAATTTACAAAGTACACCCAATTTTTTCTTTCTAAAATAAAATTAACTGAATCTTATAGGCAATTCACTAAAGATGTACTTAGGTACCCAAGGTGACATACAAATTGTATCAAACATGCTCAACCATACATACAAAATAAATAACAAAGCGCATAAGGCGGGTATAACTAACAAAAGATCATAAGACAAAAAGGTATCCTTTTGATAAGACCTGTTATTCGAGACACAGGGATTCTCCTAAAACAGAGTAAAACTCTATAATTCTTATTCCATAATAATCCAAAAAAGTCATATCAAAACCCTATATATAAGTGTGAATAGATAATCCTACCCTAAATTAAAAGATACTAACAGATATCCTAATTTTAAATAAAGATAACTACTAATTTGAAATAATAATAAAGGGATAATTATCGGAGACATATCACCTTTCTACCCCAAGAACCACAATTTATAAAGCCTAATTGTGATTCAATCTTCAAGAAGATAGTAAGAGCTCGTTCCTTGATTTTGTGATGTTAATCTAACAAAAAAGTGTTACATTCATTAAGACCTCATTACCTCAATCCCAAAGCTCCAAAATACCAACTCATCCAACAATACATGGCCCATTTCAAGCTATATATATATATATATATATATATATATATATATATATATATATATCAAGCATTGTTGCATTGGCATGTTAAATGAACTAATATGCATTCATTGCATGACTAGCATCATATTTACTTTTAATTTCTCATATAGGTAATGTACTTTCAATATTAGCACAAAACACCCCATATGTATTTATATGTGCTTAATACTAGATTCCAACACATTTTTTCCCTTGTCATATGTCATATCTTTTGGGTTCAAATGTCCATCACATAAAAGAAATCTATCAAAATCTCCTTGCCCCCCTTGTTTTCTTCATCCACAAAGCCAATGTGCCTTTTAAGCATATAACTTTCAAGACTTCAGTTTTCAACTGCAGCACAAGTTAATAAATAGTGGAAACTCGACACATGAATATGTTCCTGATCTTTCCCTTCCTGTTTATGATTATTCTCTAGTCATGATATTTGAATTGAAGTTTTTATGGTATTGCATGAGATGGATTTTCTTTTTGGGCTTCTATATTTTTCTCATTGTCATGCAAAGTCCTACTTACTAATATTTTCTATGACAAACTATTGTTGGAATGTTTGTGATCTTATAACAAATGCTTTTATGATGTCCAGATTCCTCATATTGTTATGGATCGTTCTCTATTCACTGTTGGTCAAGGCCGCCAATGTGACTTATGCATTGGTGATCAATCCATCAGTAAATCATTGTGTAGCCTTCGACACATAGAGTCAGAGGTAATCTTAATTTTCTTTCTCGTTTTTGCAATTAGCTTATGTAACATTATTATTCTGTTTATTCTACACAGCGAGGAGGTTCGTCCATTACTTTACTTGAAATCACGGGTGACAAAGGCGCTGTCAAAGTCAATGGCAAAATTTATCCTAAAAAGTCAACTGTTCCACTTAAAGCAGGAGATGAGGTGATCTTCAGTTCATCAGGAAGGCATGCTTATGTATCCTAAACACCATCTTCATACTTCATGGTTTCTTATGTTCCTTTTTTTTTTCAATTATGTTCTCACCGTGCATCATTAAATGGAAGGAAACAACTTCCTTAACATAGTATCAGATATTTCAGAAGCAATTGAATGATGCTATGCCTGCAAGTGTGACACCTTCACTGAGTATTCTAGAAGCACATAACAGTTCACTTAAGGGACTGCAGCTTGAGGAAAGATCTAGAGACCCATCTGATGTTGCAGGAGCATCAGTATTAGCATCTTTGTCAAGCATCCAGAAAGAGTTATCACTTCTCCCGCCACTTGGCAAGGGTTTGCAATCTGGAATGCCACCTGTACCATCTCCAGATGGGAGAGGTAGTGAATTTAGTGAGAAAGCTGTTGTACATGATCCGGTTGATGCAGAAGTGGGAAAGGTCCCTGAGGCAGGTCATGAATTAAGGCCATTACTGAGGATGCTTGCAGGATCATCGGCTCGTGAGATTGAAATTTCAAAATTTGTTGATGCGCAAAGGGAAATCAGACAACTTTTTAAGGATATTGATATTCCAATCTCGTTATCAGCACGTCGTCGAGCCTATAAGGACAGATTAAAAAAACATATTCTTGATCCTAATACGATTGAGGTTTCGTTTGACAATTTTCCGTATTACTTAAGGTGCAAACACTAAATCAGTTTTGGATATATAATAGGTTAATTGTGTCAATTCACCTAATAGCAACAAACTTTGCATTTTTTTTTACCAAAATAGGCAATGTACTTTATTTTTTAATCATAATATCAACCAATTTGCAATTTTTTTAACGATTTTAATCATAATATCTCTGGCCACTACCTCTATTTTTTCGGCTAACAATTAAAACAAAACCAAATGTGAATCTTATTAGGTTTCTAAGTTATATATTGTCAAAATGGGTAGAAAAATAAAAGTTGGTTGCTATTGTGGGTACAAAATAAAGCATGTTGCCTATTTTGATAAAAAGTGTAAAGTTTTGTTGCTATTTGTCTTATTTTGTGCTGTGCGTTCAACAATTTTTTTTTTTTTTTTAATCTTGCTTGATCTTTCTTTAGAGCTAGATTTTTTGGTTATAATTTTATTATACACAAATAAATTAGATATTAGAAGACATTCACTTCTTTATTTTATTTTTCATTTTCAACTTTGGTGGGCATTTTTGTAACATAGTGTCTTCCTTCAATGTTTTAGTTTGCATACCTTTCATTCATCCTTTGTTCAATCTGATCATATTAATCTTTATGTCTAAACTCTCTTACTGACAAACTGGAAGTTTCATACTTGATGGTAGTTTTTTATGTAAAAATGAAAAGTTTCTTTGTTTTATGTGCATGGTGTCCTGATTATTATGTATAGACATTGTTAGTAATGTTGCTATTTGATTAAAATTCTACAGTGAAACCACAAAAAGTGTGTTGATTGCTTCAACATATATACATTTGAAGTGTAATCAGTTTGTGAAGTACACCTCAAATTTACCTACCGTATGCCCCAGAATACTATTATCTGGCCCAACTGGTACTCCTTCAACCGTTTGGGCAAAAAAAAAAATATTTCTTGTTTTTTTTTTTACATGAAATTATAATTTGTATGGCTTTACACAGGTTCAGAAATATACCAAGAAACATTAACAAAGGCTCTTGCCAAACATTTTGGTGCCCGATTGCTCGTAGTTGAATCTCTTTCATTACCTGGTGTAAGCTCTTCATAAAATTTGCAGTTTACTCTTTGATATTATTTAACCATCCTTAATGGACTTGTATTGTTTTATTATATCAGGGATTATCAGCAGCTAAGGAAACTGACACGCCGCTGAAAGAGAGCACAAGGGCAGAAAGGGCAAGTTTTTTCACAAAAAGAGTTTCACGTGCAGGTGTTATACATTCTAAAAAACCAACATCAAGTGTTGAAGGTGATATAGTAGGTGGATCCTTTACAGGTTCTCTTGCTCTGCCAAAGCAAGAGGCATCCACCGCAACATCAAAAAATTACACTTTTAAAGAAGGTATATATATATAATCCTTGCATTCTAAATGGTCTATGTTGCTGATGTCACTATATAATTGTATCTTATCTTGTTGTTTTTTGACTTAATTGGGTTAAGCAATTGATCTGGACAACTATACATGGTTGTTCTTTTTTGACTTAATCTGGAGAGAATGACTTAATGACATAAGCTAAAAAGCATGACTTAATGTATTCAGACACTAACCCTTTACTTATTTGCCTTCTTTTTTCTTCCTAACTCGTCTCACAATTGATAAAATTGATGATTATTCTGAATTTTTTTTTTGGAATGTAAGGGTAGAGTTATCGTTTAGTCTCATTTAGACGGTTTATTCAGTCTAGAAAAGAAACAAACTTTATTTATGCAACACTTTATTCAAACAAACATCATTACTCATTCAACCACTTTACCTATACAGAACTTGGGGGTGTTTGGGATTGCTTATTTAAGGTGCTAATAAGCACCTTCGAGTGTTTAGATAGAATAAAATGAAAAGTGCTTATTGACTTAAATAAACAGTTTTTGGTAAGTTATTTTCCTTCTAACTTATTTGAAAGTGTTTATTATATGTGAAGCCAGTTAACCCCTTCAGGCTTTCACCACCGTTTTAACCCTAAAAGCCATATGTATTGTACCCTTGTTTTTTTTTCATGATGGGTGATAGATACCAATTTTACCCTTTTACCCCTAATCCCTTTTGGTCATTTTACATGTATAAGCAGAACTTGCCAACCACTAAAAACCAACTTATCTGTTTTGTTGCATTTTGGTACCCCATAAGCTAATCTGAACACTTTTCCCTACACTCTGTTTTGGTACTGCATAAGCTAGTAAGCACTTCAAAAACATAAACTTTTTAAAATAAGCAATCCTAAACAACCCCTTAATAGGAGAAAAAAGAAACAACTCGTAACTTCATCTATGTAATGGAAAATTTCAATTTACATTTGGCAGGTGATAGAGTTAAATATGTGGGTCCCTTGTCATCTGGATTTTCTCCTCTACAAGCTCCCGTGAGGTATCTTCACTTCTACATCCATTGAGTTCTTTGTTTTTGTTTAAACTCAAGAAGAAATGCATTGGATTCTTAAAAAGTATTGCTTGTTAAATGTGTGTATATATATATTTACTTATTTATTTATTTCATAGGGGTCCTGCATATGGTTATAAGGGAAAAGTGCTTCTTGCATTTGTTGAAAATGGGCATTCCAAGATTGGTGTTAGATTTGATAAAAAAATTCCAGAAGGCAATGATCTTGGAGGCATTTGTGAAGAAGATCATGGTTTTTTCTGTGCTGGTAATAATCCAAACATTTAAGTAATCCGTACTTTTTCATACCTTTCATTGTTAGTTACAGTTTGAATTAATAAATAAAAAAAACTTCTTTTTTGGTATCATATGCAGCTGAATTTCTTCGCCTTGATTCTTCGAGCTCAGATGACATTGAGAAGCTTGCAATTAGTGAACTTATTGAGGTAGTTTTGAACCTGCTTTTCTTTAAAAAAAAATTTATACTGTATTCATTGAAACAATTACAGAAAATGTTGTATTTACTATTTATCCATGCAGGTTGCTATAAAAGAAAGTAGAATCAATCCATTGGTAATATTTGTAAAAGATATAGAAAAGTCAATGCTTGGAAACCCTGATGCCTATGCTTCTTTTAAAAGTAAGCTTGAGAAATTGCCTGGGAATGTGGTTGTCATTGCTTCACATGCTCAAATGGACAACCTGAAAGAGAAAGTAAGAATTTAAATTATAACATCAAATTTTATATGCCAATCATTTACACTTTTATTTAACTAATTTAATTGTTTTGCAGACTCATTCTGGTGGATTAGTGTTTACAAAATTTGGGAACAATCAGACTACATTACTTGACCTGGCTTTCCCGGTAAGTTCTGCTAATTTTATTTTTTGAAACAAAGGTACTTCAAATAAACATCAATTAAAGATGTGATGTGATTAATTTCAGGATAGTTTTGGTAGACTAAATGATAAAAGCAAAGAAAGCCCAAAAGCCTTGAAGCAAGTCACTCGTCTTTTTCCGAACAAAGTCACCATACAGACGCCTCAGGTAACTAAATCCCATTTTAGGATTTTGTATGTGTTTGAGGATATTAATTAATGTTTTTAATTTTATAACCATGTCCATGGCAGGATGAAACATTACTTTCAGACTGGAAGCAACAGTTAGACCGAGATACAGAGACCTTGAAATCACAGTCAAACATTATCAGCATTCAAACAGTGAGTATACTATTATGATTTTTTTAATCACTATTTAAAATTTGTAGCGTTATTTTCACTCAATGTCATGATTTCAGGTTTTGAATCGAGTAGGTCTTGGTTGCTCAGATCTTGAAGCAACCTGCATAAAAGATCAAGCCTTGACAAATGAAAGTTAGTTCCATTTTTTCTTCAATTATTTTCATTTTGTTTTATTTTTTTAGTTTCTAAGTAATTGCTCTTTTTGTTATAATAGATGCTGAAAAGGTTGTTGGATGGGCGCTTAGTCATCACTTTATGACAAGTTCTAAATCTTTTGCTAAAGACACCAAAGTCGTGATTTCTAGTGAAAGGTATCCTTAAAAAGGAACAAACAAAACAAGAGCAATCCATTATTGTTCTTTCATTATTTTATTGTATATTCATGCTTACTTTGTGTTTTATGCTATGTATTGTAGCATCAAGTATGGGCTCGACATATTGCAAGGTACTCTTAATGAGAGTAAAAGTTCAAAGAAGACACTAAAGGTAAAAAAAAAAAAAGTAAAGGCTGCTTCTTTCCATTATGCAACCAAGTAAATGAGACACATGTTCATATACAAGTAGAAGAATTAAATTATAAAATAATGAGATGAGATGAGATTGATTGCAGGATGTGGCTACTGAAAATGAATTTGAGAAGAGACTCCTATCTGAAGTTATTCCTCCAAATGATATTGGTGTTAGTTTTGATGATATTGGAGCTTTAGAAACAGTGAAGGATACTTTAAAAGAATTGGTGATGCTACCTCTCCAAAGGCCTGAATTATTTTGTAAAGGACAATTAACAAAGGTAAAATTATATATTTTTTTTCTTTGTTGTAACGGAGGTAAGTAAAGTTTTTGTTGTATTCCAGCCTTGCAAAGGAATTTTGCTTTTTGGGCCACCTGGCACTGGTAAAACAATGCTAGCAAAAGCTATTGCAACTGAGGCAGGTGCAAATTTTATCAACATATCAATGTCAAGCATTTCTTCAAAGGTATTCTCACTGAAAATAAAAAATCTCATTTTTGATAATTTTTAGGTTGGTAGAAATGAATATAATTAGCATGTTGATGTTGATGGTTGTTTGTTTGTAGTGGTTTGGTGAAGGGGAGAAGTATGTGAAAGCGGTTTTCAGTCTTGCGAGTAAAATAGCTCCCAGTATTGTGTTTGTGGATGAGGTTGGTACTGGTACAATTACAAAGCTTGTATCAATTAGTTATTTATCAAATTTTCTTAATAGATTTTTTGTGATTTAAAAAAAAAAATGTAATAGGTGGACAGCATGTTGGGTAGAAGGGAAAATCCAGGTGAACATGAAGCAATGCGGAAAATGAAAAATGAGTTTATGGTGAATTGGGATGGATTGCGCACAAAGGACAGAGAGCGTGTACTTGTACTTGGTGCCACCAACAGGCCTTTTGATCTTGATGAGGCTGTAATTAGGAGACTACCTAGGAGGTTGCTAAATCTTTTTCTTTTTCCTTTTTCCTTTTTTTCGGTAATAATATGATATATATTATAATATAATATAATATTTGCAGGTTGATGGTGAATTTACCGGATGCCGCAAACAGAGAGAAGATTCTAAGAGTGATTTTGGCAAAAGAGGAATTGGGACCAGATATTGATCTTCAAGCCGTGGCAAATATGACAGATGGCTACTCGGGGAGTGATTTGAAGGTTATTATCGTCTTTTTCTCTCTCTCTCTCCCTCTCTCTCTCTCTGTCTCTGTGTGTGGATTTGGGGTATTTTTTTACTTTGTGTGTAGTGTTTGGTTACTGATAGAGTTGTGTTGGAATTTCAGAATCTTTGTGTGGCAGCTGCACATTATCCAATAAGAGAAATTTTGGAAAAGGAAAAGAAGGTTTGTCTCACTTTTTAGTTTTTAAAAAGATGTTAGCATCCAATTAATATATATGCACAGCTTGACATACTATTATTATTAAATCTTTATGTTGATTTATGAGATTGTTTGTATGCACAGGAGAAGGCTGCGGCATTGGCAGAAAACAGAGTGTTACCTCCTTTGCATAGCAGTGCAGATGTTCGGCCTATAAATTTGGATGATTTTAAAAGTGCCCATCAACAGGTACGTAACAAAAAATATATGTGCATCATTTTTTGACTTGGTTGTAGCACATCCACAGCCACAGATGATTAAAATTTGAGTTGCTCTTTCATTTATAATGAGAAAAAACATGTCATAAATAGAATGTTATTATGTGCAGGTATGTGCAAGTGTATCCTCGGAGTCGGCAAATATGAATGAGCTGCTACAATGGAACGAACTGTATGGAGAAGGTGGATCCAGGAAGAAGAAACTCCTCAGCTATTTCATGTGAAGTCAACCAAACCGAGTGTATAGCAACAGAATCGTCTTTACTTTGTTTGACCAAGAGTTTTTTTTTTTTTTTTTTTTTTTTTTTTTTTTTTTTTAAATAACCATTATTAGGCAGCCAACTGTATAGAGTAAGACTCGTTAATGCAACTCATCCCATCTCATCATGTTTTCAGATTATCAAACACCATTAACTTTAACTTGGTAGGTCAATGTCAATTTGTGTTGTGTTTCGGGAGTATGTACATTAATACTTGTTAAGTTAAGTTATGTGTGGACTGAAAGCTGAAAAATGTCAGTAAGGCTTTAGAGATTCTACCAAATCAAAACTCAACAAACGTCATTATTTTTATTAAAAATTATTCTGCGAGTTGAAAGGCCTCATACTGGTGTAGTTGAATGCATCTTTTTGTACCTCTATTTCACAGTTTGAATGATGGGTTAAATCATTAATATACCATATATGATTAGATAAGCTAAATTAACAAAAGTAATTAATTTTCTAAAATTAAATGATTTCGAAGGTTGCATAAAATAACAAAAATACACTTTGGACGATTGATCTTCCATCAAATTAGTTTAGATCAACATGATCCAAACTGGATGTGGATGTAGAGAAATTAGGTGAAAAAAAGTTGGCAGTCATTGTCCAGTTAAAAAAAATGTAAGTTTGGCTTCGCCCGGGTTCGAACCGGAGACCTTCAGTGTGTTAGACTGACGTGATAACCAACTACACCACGAAACCTTGTTGATATCTTTCCTAGAATATTAAAAATTAAATGATGTGATGCCTGTTAATGTTTCAAGTATGCACTTTCTTATGTAATGTTATTTTACTCTTCAATCTGTATTTATCCACCCTTTGTTACGAACAAATAAAACAATTATATTTTACTAAAAACAAACACTAAATTGTTAAAATAATCTAGAATGAGCATAGTTACAAGTATCAATTTCCAATTCATCTGGACGAATTTGGTTGCTATTATAGAGCCAAGCAAGTAAAAGTCAATAAATTCATCTTAAATCCAAATATGAAACAGATCGTCCAGATTAAACAAAACATCATAATTGGTAACTACTAATAATATTTCTATGGTTTCTCAAAATCTAAGATATAATCTCTATTGTGGTTGGTCTATCGCCCATCTAAAACGACTTATTCATCATTTTCATTTCTCTCTCTCTCTCTTTCTCTCTCTCTCTCTCTCTCTCTCTCTCTATATATATATATATATATATATATATATATATATATATATATAATAAATGAAGGTTTTTTTTGCCACTTGTCACTCTCATTCATTTTGCCACATGTCATTTTGTGGTTATTTTGAATGAATTTTTATTCCATATGTAATTTTGTGGTTTTCCTATTTTATTAAATTCTATATGGTATTTAAATTTAATAATAAATACATATCAATTTCATTAATGGACTTTCCTTATAATTTCAAAATTTTAAAATAAAATCTCATTAATTTGCTTTTGTTATTTATCTAAATTATTTGTTTAAATTTAAAAGAGAAAAAAAAACACTTTAATTTTAATAATTCAATATTTTTCTCATTTTTCTTATAAATTCAAATTTATCAAATGTTTATACATATTTAATTGTTTTAAATACACCCATGTAATACATGAGGCTCACACCTAGTATATATATATATATATATATATATATATATATATATATATATTAACTAAACCTATTTTTTAATAAAGAAAAAGAAAAAAAGGAAAGGCAATAAATAATAGGGCCCGCATCACCACCACCTCCGGATGATCCATATGATCCATAACGTCTTCTTTTCCCCTTGTATATCCTTGTACTTTGCCAAATACACCTTTAGCGGCTCTAACTTTGTCATCGCCATTGATTGTCTTCCTCTTCTCCTTTCTATGAGTTAAAGTTAGGTGTTGTTTGTTTTTTCTGATGCAAAATGTCTGCAGTCTGCCGACCACATCTGTAGACCTCTGCAGTAGAAGAGGTGGACCAAACGTCTGCAGCCTGAAAAAAGAAGACTGTTTGTTTTTTTAACATCTGCGGGCTACTAAAATAAACTGAAATCTAAACGAACTGAATTTTTTAAACTTCAAAGTGATTTTTTAATATTTTTATGACTTTGTTATAAATAATTAACAAATCTAAATCAACTTTTATCTATTATTGTATAAAAAATAAAAATAAAAATAAAAATAAAAATGGTATTAATTAACGTATATATTTGATAAAAACCAACAACTTTGATTGCAAAATTATAACTAAACATTATAATTAGGGATCAAAGAATTTGATACATAAATGGATGTAAATAAACTTCGATTTTTTCAATTAAATCCATTAAAAACGTACCATAAATATTTTCTCGAGAAATTGACGATACTGTATTAAATAATGTTTTACAAAATTTGGCAAAAAAATATAAGAATATATTATGATTTTTTTTTTCATATTTATATAAACAACTTCAACGACTATTATTGTAATAAATCTTTATTTATAAATTTGTCAAAAATATCATGTTTGTATCGTCGAACGTTTTTTTTTAAGTTTTGTAATTTTTTTTCAAATTGTTTATCATTAATAAAGTTGGTCCACATATGCGCCAAGAAGAGGATGTCTGAAGATATATTTGTTTATCATTAAGTTTTATAAATAAAAAAAAAACTTAAAAAAAATGAAGATATATTTGTTTTTTTTAAGCTAGAAGATGTCTGAAGATGTTAGAAGACTCTGGTCCACATATGCGCCAAGAAGAGGGCGCGCAGATATTTTTAGGTCTGCAGTCTTCAAAAAAACAAACAGTCTGCGAAGGCTAATGTCTGCGCGTGGTCTACGCGACACAGACAGAAGAGGTCACGCAGATCTGCAGACAAAAAACAAACACCACCTTAGGGACTATATCCAAAATTTTGGGAAACCACATGACCTTTTATGAAGTTTTGTTTAATATTAAATTACTAACATAGTAATATAACTTTGCAATATATTAAACAAATCAATTATTTTTAAACTGTTAATAATTCTATCTTCTCATTAACAAGACTAAGACGTGATGGAAAAAGCATTGATACACGTTTTCACTAAAAATGAATTGTTTTTTTGTTACACAACGAGAGAGTAGACACTGACAAATCATAGAACTTGACATGGTCGTGAAAAGAAATTATAAAGAAGTAGAAAAAAAAAGTAAATAAAGAAAAGCAAAACAGGAAGTATTGCACAACATCAAAATACACACACCACTTGCAGTCTCTAATAAGGTTGATGCCTCTTTTTCTTGCGATTTTTGGGGTGTTTTTCAACCAATGAAGTCGATATCCACGATTGATTTACGTCAGACGAATTGTCAGACAACCAGCAACACAATCGTCCGTCTTCGCCACCTGTCCACCCAAATATCCCCTGTGTTTGGTTCTGGTTCTGGTTTTCATTGTTCATCACACTTCTCATGGTGGGGGAAGGCAGCACACTCCTAACAACACCACCATGGCCACCATGGAGAACCGCTTCTGGTGACAAAATTGATCTCATACCTTCTGCATACCCTACAGGAAAGTATCCCAAACTGCCGCCATTAGTGCCGCCTATAACCCATAAACGCTCATCCACACCCGAGTAGTGACAGTCAACAAAATAGTCAACCTGGAAATGGAAATGCACAAACAAGTTTAATGAAAGTAGAAGGTGGTTGTAATACACAAATAAATAATTTAGAAAGCAAATAACCCACATGATCTAGAGACCAGCTATTAGAGGCCAAGGAGCGAGCATCCTCAAAGTTGGCTTCAACTCTAGACTCTTTCAAATCCCAAATACTGAATCAAGAGACATAAACCAAGAACAAATTATTAGAAACATCAAGTATTTATTTATTTAAATTAAAAATTCTTTTAGCATGCATCCATATTCAAATGAATTTATAAGTACCTTAAAGTTTCAATATGAGTCAAACACCATAGCTTCTCATATGTCCCTCCAAAAAGCCCCACTTTTCCAATAGATGTCCCCACATTAATCACCTCCATCACATCGATCATGTCAGTAAAATCATATCAAAAAAACAAATAAAAGATCTGGTGATTCCACACTTACTGATTGCAGATGATCATCATCATTGATTTCTCCACTGGTGTCATAGGTACAAATTAGTCCATCAATAGAGGCAGATATAAGCTTATTTTTCTCATTCGGTACAAAATGAACCTGTCACCAATCGTAATTCATGATAAGTTCTTTATATGATCAAGTTGTAAATCAAAATTGAAAAAATAACATAAACATGATTCATACTGTTCTTATTCATTAAACATGATAAGAACCATAGCATAAGAACAAACCTGTGTCACATCATCCATATGAGACTCCTCCAAGCAGGCAACCTGCTTCTTGTTTCTCCAATCCCAGAAAAGTATCTACTTGCAATATTATATCAGGAACATTAATGTTAATACTAGCTTTATTAGCACAATACATAGAATCTATTTTATTATTTAGATCAATATGGTTCAGTTTCAGGATTCTTGTTTTTGTGATTATGAACTAAGGATTCGATAAGTCGATACAAAATGCAGATCAAAAGCCATAATAGCAGATTAATTTGTTATATCAGCTCATAATTCTTTGGGATGAATGAACATCAATGAGAAGAAACGGGCTGTGCTAATTGAATATGCTTTTAATCAACCAAGGTACATCTTAAGCACATGCAATGTCACATATAGAACTGCAAACGTGCACAAAAGTGAAAAAAAATAAGATGTAAAGATGCAACTGCATTACCTGAGATTTACAACCTGCAGCAAGAAGATGATCACCTGATCCGCCAAATGAAAAACTAAATATTTCTTGAGAGGGACCAGCATTTAGACAAGACACCTGCATTTCACGTGCAATTTATACACATAGTGAACAACATAGCTTCATCTAAGAACCTATGCATATAATTGCACTGTAGACTGAGATAGAAATGCTACCACTTCACAAAATTGGAATCCGAAATATCAAAATCACGAATCAAATTGTTAGAAACACAGGAAGAGAGAAACCTGTTGGTAAGAGCGAGTATCCCAAGCCCTGAGAGTGCCATCGGACGAGCAAGAGTGCAATATATTACCCGAAAATAAGATGTGGTTAATACTATCAGAATGCTGTCCTCTGCAGCATTCGCCGACGAACTGACCGGTAACCGGTGAGTACAGCTTCACGGTATTGGACGACAGAGACACAGCCATCGTTGTCCAGTCTTCCCTAAAACCGAATTCACACAAACACACGAATCAATCAATTATATTCTAATTCTACAAATAAAGCCGACATGTTTGAGGTTATGGATAGGGTTAACATACTTGGGGACGATTTGGAAAACGTAATCATCACCGAAGTTGGTTTGAATGGAGTTTTTTAATGCAAATCGCTTCGATGAGCTGCTGGAATCGGGAATGATGCGGTTATGTTGTTCATTTACTTCTACGTCCATATCTGTCGCGTCCATTTGTGGCGACTGGCGAGGCAACTGGCAACCAAGCAATTGGGAGGCGGAAGGTATACAACTCCCGGTGTGCCGCCGAGGGCCGAGGGTTTAGGCTCTTTCTTTTTCCCTTAGGAAGCCATATTATTTAAATATTTATTTATCATTAATTTATTGACAAAATTGAAAAAATGTCCTCAAAATGATGTGCTTTTTGTAAAAAAAAAAAAACAAAAAAACAAAAAAATAAATAAAAGCAAACAAATGTTTGGTGGTGTATTAATGGACTAGTGTTTTTATTTGATTGCTAACTTTTTAAAATGTTGTTTTTGGAGAATTTCTACAACCAAACAACAATAATCATTTATAATATCTTCTTTTTAATTTTATTTAATTAAAATATATTATTTTTTATAATTTTTTATTCGATTAATTCTTTTTATTGTATTATTATATATTAATAAATATTATTTTTAATATATAATATTTATATATTAATAAATATTATTTATGAGATTATTAAATTCTTTTAAATAGTAATTTTTTTAATTTCTTTTTTATTGGATTGATTCTTTATTATTGGATTATTATATATTAATAAATATTATTGTTAATATATAATGTTTGCGTATTAATAAAATATTAATTTATTGGATTACTAATTTCTTTTAAATTTTTAAAATTTTTTTTTATTGGATTAATTATTTTTTATCGGGTAATTATATATTAATAAATATTATTTTAATATATAATATTTATATATTAATAAATATTACTTTATTAGTTTCTTTTAGTTATTTTTTTAATTTCATTTTTATTGGATTAGTTATTTTTTTGGACAACACCACTGTCGGACTGGGTGATTGTGGTGGTTAAACTTCCTCCCCAATGTACGACTATAGGGAGTAAGTGGGTCTTCAAGAAGAATACTGACATAGATGACAATTTACACACATTCAATGAAAAACTTGTTGCTAAATGATTCACTCAAACCTAAGGGGTTGATTATGATGAAACATTTTCACCAGTTGTTATGATTTAGATCTATTAGGATACTACTTGTCATAGTTGCATATTATGACTATGACATATGACAAATGGATGTCAAAACTGCTCTTGTAAACGGACACTTAGAAGAAGATGTCTATATGGTTCAACCCAAAGGTTTTTTCGACCAAAAGCATCATAATAAAGTGTGTAAACTCAAGAAATGCATTTACGAGTTAAAGCAAACATCTCAAAATTGGAATCATCGTTTTGATGATGAAACCACAAGGTATGGTTTTGTTAGAAACGAAGATGAATCTTATGTTTACATGAAAACTAGTAGGAGCTCGGTGACCTTCTTGGCCATGTATGTGGATGAAATACTTATTTACAAGGTGTAAAGGCTTGCTAGGAAAGTGCTTCTCAATAAAGGATCTTGGTGAGGCTCAATATATTCTTGGAATCAAAATCTATATAGATAAATCAAAACGATTAATAGGTTTAAGTCAAAGTACATATATTGATAAAGTCTTGAAACGGTTCAAGATGGAAAATTCTAAGAGAAGATTTATACCAATGTCATATGACACTATACCGAGTTCCTCTCAGTGTCCTAGTACAAAGGTTGAGCTAGACAAAATGAAAGATGTTTCATATGCTCTGGTAGTTAGATCCATCATGTATGCCATGAATTCTACTATACCTGATCTTGCTTATGCTATGAGCATGGTGAGCAAATACCAACAAAATCCAGGGAAGAGTCATTGGATAGTTGTGAAGAACATCCTTAAGTACTTGGGCAGAACTAATGATATGTTCATCGTCTATGGAGGCGTTGAAGAAAGCTTATGAAATATCCCAAAAATCATGACCAAAGTTTCGTTTTTAATTATTAATAAAACCATAATTATCAAAATCATCTCATCAAATCATAAGTCATAGTATCTCAAAACATCATGAACATCTGTCAAATATATTAGAGTAAACATCCCAGGCTAAAACATCATGGTGTGTGCAATGCAGTCATCCCAAACTCTTCCCTTTGCTACCGAAGGTACCTGAAACCAAAACTGAAAACTGTAAGCACGAAGCTTAGTGAGTCTCCCCAAACTAGCACATACCATACACATAATCACATATAAACATATTGTGGGCCCCGCCCCTTCATCGAGCCCCGCCCGGCATCAGACAATGTCCGGCATCGGGCCCCGCCACGCATCAGACAATGTCCGGCATCGGGCCCCGCTAGACATCGAGTAAAGCTCGGTATACATATCAACAAATACACATAGAATAATCACATAACATAAAACATATAAACATTCCTTGGGCACCGCCCGACATCGGACCGAAATCCAGAAAGTATATAAACATTCATCGGGCACCGACTGACATCGAACCTTAGTCTAGAAAACATATAAACACAGACACATGCAAGAATCACGAAGACATCAAGCATACAAACATTCCTCGGGCATCGCCCGGCATCGAACCGTAGTCCGAAAAGCATATAAACATTCATCGGGCACCGCCCGACATCGGATCGAAATCTGGAACATACAATCATACATACTGGCTGACATTGGTGCCTTCAACCCGTTCCTACAAGAGGAAAACTCACCTCAAATGTTGGATGCTAGCTGAAACGTCTCTGCTCCGGAATCAACTCTACTTAAACCCCTAAACAGAGCAACCCCTTAGATATCAGTTCATACTCATAACCCATTAGGTTCAACCATGGTCAAAGTCAAGTCTAGGTAAAAGTCAAAGTCAACGCTTTGAGTTGACTCAACTCGTCGAGTTTACCCTTCAACTCGCCTAGTTCCCATGAATCACAAAATTGTGATTTCGCGATCCAACTCGTCGAGTCCTTCCATGAACTCGTCGAGTTCTTCCTTATTAACAACATCAGGACACTTCCATTCAACTCGTCGAGTTCCTCTATGAACTCGTCGAGTTCTTCAGTTTGCTAACCCTTCTTAATCCATTCAGCTATTATTCTTCAAATCCAAGTCCCATATTCCAGATCTGGGCCGAAAATACACCTAGGAGGGTAAAGTTTCCAACTTTACCCATTAAAACCTACTCTAGAAGAAATAAGCTCTAACCCTAACCCAACAAGGTCAAGGTCTTGATCCAAGGCCAACCAAAACTACAAGATAAACCATGAGGTCATAGATCTGGAGTCTAACGACTAAATGATCACGTAAAGTCTTAAAATTTATCCTCATGCATGGCCATTAGAGCTTCAAAAGACCAAAATGATGGTCTAAAGGTTGCATGGGACTTACATGGTCATAAAGTTGGCACCTTTATGCCATGAAAACCCCTCACGGCCTTATATCTGAAGTGTTCTTCACTTGGGACGTCCAAATCCCAAGAATCATATCCTTTGGACCAAAACCAAGCAAAATAACCCTAAAAGAGGATCTAAACAACTACAAGGAAAGGTTCAAGCTTTATACGAGCAAAATGTCGTTGATGAGGCAAGGATTCTGGATCTACAAACTCCTTCTTGTGTCTTCAAGCTTTTCCTTCTTCCGTTGGCTTCAAGCACACACTAAAACACTTAAAATGGCTCACAAACTATCACAATAGCATTAGGGTTTTGAGATCTAGGGTTAGGACAGCGGAGGCTGGAAATGAGGCCAAGAGAAAAGGTTTAAGGTGTTTAAATAGGGTGCAAACCCCGAAAATTAGGGTTTCATGTCTTCCAGCCTACTCGTCGAGTTGAGGCCTCCCAACTCGTCGAGTAGGTTACTTAAATTACGCGGCCCTTATGATCTCTACTCGACGAGTTTGGGGCTCCCAACTCGTCGAGTTGCTCTGTAAAATGAAATAAAGTACAAGTTAAATAAATACCAGGAACCAGGCGTTACAGCTTAAGTGTAAAGTGTTACACCGATGCTTCCTTCACAACATATCAAGATGATTGCAAGTCGTAATCAGGATATATGTTCATTGTAAATGGGGTGCAATGTATTGGAAAATCTCCAAGCAAAGTGTTGTTGCATAATCCACTACATAGTCGGAATACATCGCTGCTTCGAAGCTGCACAAGAGGCTTCTTGGATGAAGAAATTCATTGGAGATTTGGGCGTGGTTCCTTCCATTCAGGATCCCCTCAACATCTTCTGTGACAATGGGAGTGCTATTGCATTGGCAAAAGAACCTAAATCACATAAGAAGACTAGGAACATTAGCCGGAGATTCAACTTCATTCGGTATAAAGTTAAAGAAGGTGAAATCAGTATTCGCAAAGTTCACACCGATCAAAATTTGGCGGACCCTTTCACGAAGTCCCTTACTCAAGCAAAGTTTGAAGGTTATGCTTGAGGATCTGGAATTCGATATTCTAGTGATTGGCTTTGATCAATGTATTGGTATTGAGTATTAGAACATTATGTAACATCATCTATTGTAATGACTATGATATATATGGCATATGATCTTTTCATTAAATATTTGTTGAGTTCTTTATTAACATGTTTAATCCTTGAGTAAATTTATTCACTTTAACATCCATAGTCAGTTATTATTGTTGGAACAATAATGAAATAAGACTAACATGAATTGAAATGGTTGAAAAAGTGTTCTAACATGTTTCATAGGTACTTGCTAGAGAGCAAGTACTGGATTAACACGTTTAAGATCACTTCATGGATCGTTGTCATGAATGATACTTGATAAAAAGGTAATATATGTATATCCTTAACACTTGAGATTCATATATGGGACTTGAGTGTGGGGAGTGTTATGCTTTGATGTAGTCAAATGTTTTATTTTAAACATGTAGTTATAAAAGCTAATATCGGGTATGATGTGAACCATACAAGGGGCGTATGTAGTCAAGATGGGATTTGTTCATCTTATTCGTTGAGAGTTAGACATCTAAGGCCCGACGTAAATTTGAACACTTATATGAGATTGAATGTGATATATATCTCATGTTCAATATGATGTCTGTAGCAAATGGATAACTGATACACTTACCTTATACACCAATTTTAGCGTTGAGCTTATGGGGAATTGGGCGTTGATAGAATGGCACGGAGTCGTATGTTGTTGGGGGAAGTGAAATGTTGTTAGACGTTCACCACTATCTATATCAATCTAATATGAGTCTTGCGCAAGTAGGAGATTGAAAGATCTAGTATGCTTAAGAGTCATTAAAATGATGTTGCTATATAACATATGATCATAAGGGTCACACTAACAACAACTTGATACAATTGATTATTTATTAGAAATTGATTTTAATAAATATTCATAAATTCTTATAATACATTGAGAAAATGTTTATTTCATGGAAATAATTATTTTACAATAATAAGTAACATAATATTTCATATGGTATGAATTAATAATCATGTATAAGTTTTTATCTTTTACCTAAAAGTTAGAGTTTATATTTTATAAACTTTGTTTATAAAATATATGACTTTTGCTCTTTCTTCCTTAAAACCCAAACCTAGTTAGGGGGGGGGGGGGGGAGGGGGGGCAAGGAAGGGCTTATTCTTTTATTTATTCAAAAGCCTTAAGCCTAAGAAAGCACTCATGAAGCAATAAGGACATGAGTGTCTAAAAGTGCAAGAAACTAGTGGATAAAGACTCTGCTTTATGCATTAAAAGAGAATGCTTTCATTTTTTTTCACATGGACTTGCAATGAACGAAATTTGAAGCTCTCTCTCTCACTCTCTTGGAAAGCTTGTAGAGTTTACTTCTTGCACCTTTTGCTCTCTTGAAAGAGATACTTGGGTAGTTGCTTTCAAGCTTAAGAGTTTCTACCAAGACTAACATCTTTCAAGCTTAAGAGTTTACTTCTTGCACCATTTTCAAAATGACATCATCATTTCATAGTTACATGTAATTTTACAAACCACATCTCTTTAAATAGATGGTTGTTTTGGTAATTGGGCTAATTTTTGTCTATTTTTAGATGTTTGGGTTAATTCAACATCTTTGTTGTTGAAAGTTTAATATGTTTTGTGTGTGTTTTTGGTGTTTGTGTATGTTATTGGTGTTGGTTGTGTTCTTATTTTTTTATGCATGTTTTTTTTTTCATATGTTAGATTATTGGAAAGGGTTGTGTTGGAGAACCGGATTCCCAATTGATCACGTAAGCTCGTTTTCCGAAATGATGTTTTCAACCTATGCTTGGGTTACAAGAAATCCAGTTTAGGATAATCCAAAAGGACAATTGTGAATCTAGACACAGAAACACAAGGCAACTTGCCAAACGAATTCTAGTTTAGACGAGAGAGAGCCGAGAAGGGTATATCACGACTCAAAAAGAAGACTTGTATCTATACTTGAAAATTAAGGCGTCCATCTTCTAAATTAGTTAAGTAAATCACAAATTTAATGACATAATCAATGGTTTCCAGTTTCCAAAATTGATAAGATATGTCAATCTTATTATAATCACCTATTAGAATTCGATTTTCCCGAAGACTTAATCAACCGTCAGGGGCTCTCCTCCTTGGACCCCGCTAGGGGCGTTTCCCCTAAGACCCTAGGGGTCGCGACCCCCTTAACTCCCTGTTTGTCGTACCGACTTATCATTTGATATTATATATGTGCGCACTCCCCACTCACCAACACCAAAATTACCAACACCATATGTGTCATTGATAATTTATAAAATATGCTTGAAACGAAGAGATCAATAGGATGATAAAAAAGATGATCTGTCTAAGTGACCAAAATGCCTTTATGGGTCTGAGATATGAGGGATCTTGACAGTAATAACCAAAGACTAAAAGGTTTGTATTTGCCAAAGATGTAATTTACTCATAAAATAGTTATATAAGTATAAGTAAAATAATATAAAGGACCGCAAGACTTTCAGCCCCGATTATAAACCCTAGTAAACCCTGCGTTCCTCTACCCTATTTGTTCATCTACGCCCTTCACACTCAGCACAACAAAGATGGGTGGTTCAAGAAGAAAGTACAAGAGATCCAGAACCAAGGTCCGTGTAGGGCTTCCGAAGAAGAACCCTAACGTTTTCAAGCCAGCCTTCTCTATCCCACCAAAGTTTCGATCCATTGTCGATTTGTCGAAAACCAAATGGGACGACCAAGGCAGTGTTCTTGAGAACTACAAGTCTTTCGGTGTTGTTTCGAACCCCAATCTGCTCGGTGTTCGTTCTCGCACTTCGAAAATCATAGAGAGTGAATCGCTTCAACTCCCTCCTCCCAAATTAGATGGTCCAATCTCTGAATTTGAGCCAATGGATTCTGGCAGCGAACTCGAAGAAGACGGTCAGTTGCTTATGTTTCGTATCTTTTGATTGAATTAGCTCGTAGAGATGTATATCGCATGAAGTTTGATTCCTTTTTTGTTGATATAAAATTATCATCGAATCATAGAGTCCAAGGGCAGGTTTTCGTTTAGGAGTTCATTGAACCAGATGATATGTTTGGTTTTGCAGATGTAAAATCAGCACTTGGGAAAAAGCGCGTAGACGGGAAAAAAGCCCCTTTGCAACCATTAACGACTATGCAAAGGTTTCATATAGGAGCACTAGTAGAGAAATATGGCGATGATTATCAGGTTAGAAACATAGTTTTATTATGCTAAGTTTATTTTTCTTGTGTTCACTGGCTTCCTGTTTGCAGAGCATGTTCATGGATACCAAGCGTAACAAGCTGCAGCACTCAGTAGCCACTCTTGAGAAGCTTTGCCAGAGATATCACATATGTAAAGATAAGAATCCAATGCTTGTTCCCCTTTGATTTATTACATGTTAGTCCCTGGAATTTGCATTTTACAGCAAATTCACATTTCTTGATCCTAGTTTTGACATTTGTAGTGTAATCCTGTATGTTTTTCGGGTAATATATGCAACTATTTACATTTCTTATTGAGTCAACTATTATGAACTTTTTTAATCTTATGATGTCAAAATTACAAAATACATATGCTTGTCTGAAAAAGTTAAAATGAAACAACATCTGTGCACAAGGATTAGTACTGAGGCTAGTTATTCAAGGGGTTGTGGTGAAAATCCTGCACTTAAATTCCAAGAAATGCACGTGATTGGGATTCCCAGTGCTCCTTTGCTTGGCGGATTCTTTCTACTCTTTCGTTCTTTAGTCTTTCTTCCCAATATTCAGGACAACTGTTAAAGTTTATAAAAACCCACCCAGTAAGTACCTTTTTTTTTTTACAACCATGGTAAATATTAGCCTAGGGACAATGGTTAATAAAACACACCTTCTACTTAGTAGAATGTTCAGCTCATCTAAATGAAGAGCTCCTTCATAAACTCCTGTCTGGAAATCAACAAAAACAGCCACCAAAATTCATCGGGGGAAATGGGGAATGATTTGTAGAAAAAAGAAAAAAGATTGAAAGAAAGGTTAATTGCATAAATTGTAGAGACATGCCTCTCGACAAAGAGGACATTTTGATGTTGGCTCTGCTGCTTTTAATCCGTCTACAATTGTTACTGAGCCAGACTTGCAAGCACACATGTAGCAGAAGATGTGCCCACAAGTAAGAGCCACTGAATCAAATACGGTATCCTGTTCAGTTTTCAAATCAAAGGATAAATAAATATGTAAAGAAGTGATGGTGTTTATATCAAATCTGGGTTTATAAAGCAAAACATGTTGGGTTTATTTTATCAAAGTGATGGTGCTTATATCAAATCTGGTAGATAAAGGTTTCCCAAAAAAGAGGTACGGTTTGAAATTTGACCTTCTAAATCAACGAATTCGTTTGTATGTTAATATTACTATTATAACTTATTTAAATCTTCAACGGCTCTTGGTTACTACTAAATTTGTTTTTCTTGAATTTTGTAAAGAATTTTATAGTAGATATGATTATTAAAAAATAGTTTATTAGGATAAAAGACACTTACTAAAATAACCAAAAGGGTAGCTTTTGAAGATTGTTATTAAGTGGGTGATGAGAGTACTTGTTAGCTTATTGATTTTTTAAAAAGACAATAAATTGAAAAAGTGTTTTGGTAAATAAAGGTTTTTAAATTTCTGGCATTTTCAAAAAGTCAATAAAAACTGAGAAGCAATCCCCAACATGCCCTAAGGCTAAGCAATGACGTTAAATTAAACTGGTTGATAAGCTATTTGAAACATATACATAGAAGATTGTTTTTATTATAATTAATAAATCATATATTTGAGAGAATTTACAAATAATAATAATAATAAATCTAGAAGATTGTTTTTATTATAATTAATAAATCATATATTTGAGAGAATTTACAAATAATAATAATAATAAATCAATAAGCTCGTTGAAGTTGAAGTGTTATTACGAAAAACATTTTTAAAAAGTTAGTTTATAAGTTATCTTTTTATTTGACAAACATATAGTATAAATAATCATCCATGGTGCAAAATAGATTTCATGAAATACCTTTGGTTTAATGAATGCCATTTATATTACAAAAAAACGTGGTGTTTGCTATTTATTTTGCATAATATAGGAGTTTTCACCAAATAATTGAAAATTGTAGTGTTTTCATAGAGGGCAATAATTTTGAGAAATCAAAACACTTTCACAAAGATTATTTTACGTGATCTATGGTTATTTAGTGGTAGTTTAACAAAAAAAAAAAAAATAATAATAAATAAAAAAAATCATGGTACGGTAGATTCCATATTGGTGAATTTAGTGATGATTTCTTAAAACTGATTATATTTTTTCTAATAAAACAATTCAAAATGTTTTAAGAGACCTTTTCATAGTAATTATTCCTTAAAACAAATCTATTTTTAATAATAGCATTTAAAATGTGGTAAGGGACTTTTCGTAATCCATTTGATTTAAATAATATAACACGATGTAAGTGGTGGAAATTGGCATCTGAATTAGCACTAGACAAGTGTCAATCCATCCTTCGTTTTGAGTTGATGAAAAGGAAATACAAGGAGTAGAGTATCCAGCAATTAGAATTTAGAAGTGGTCAATGCTTAGCCTGATTAACAAACAACAAGTGGAACATAAACAATGCACTTCCACTTCCACTAAAGAATGCATGCGTAGTGAATAGTGATAGATGAATAAAAGAAGAATGGAAGCTTACCAAGCATATAGAACAAGTCAAACCAATCTCAAGTTTCAAGGTATCAGAGAGCTCACATGAAAGTGACGGCTTTCCCTCATTGAACACAAGAGAACAGCCCTCGAATAACTCAGAAGAACGAATACCCTTTCCCTTTCTTTCCCTCAAATTAATATGAAACGCAATAAGTTCACACAACCATGGAGACTGTAAGATATCCATGTGCATGCTTTGTACTTGTGACCTAAACGCTTGCCCATGCTTTGAGTAATGTATCTAGATTACACATAAAACACAACATCACTCTTTGGATTAATTAAGTGTTGTTGTATAAATCATGTTTAAAATATATTTGAGAATGCAAAAATAACAAATTTATAACATTTAATGGGAAAACCTCCTTTACCGGGATTAAGATATTTAAAAAAAAACCACATATAACTTATCAATTGTTTTTTTTTCTCCGCATTAAGTCTTGTATGGATAAAATGAGTGATTGGGTAATGATATATGTTTGAATAAAATGTTTTATACACAAGGTATGTTTCTCTTCTAAAATGAATACACTCGATGAGATTAAATAACTGTTTTATCTTTACATTCTTAAAAAAGACAAATTTCCCAATCTTTATCAGTTTTAACAAGATTGTTGAATTTTAACGTGAAAATAAAAGGGCAAATAGGTATAGGTTTAGCGTCTTAAACATTTAGCCAATTTATTATTATTATTATTATTTCTTTTTGCCTTAACCCAATAAGCCCATGTGTCTAAATGCTTAACCTGTTAATCCGTTAAGCAAAAAAAAAAAAAAAAAACCTAAATGTTTCTTTCATTAAACCCATTAAATAAAAAACAAACATCACCTAAGAAAAAAAAAAATGAGAAAGCAACCTTGTCATATTTCTTGAGAATTTTGCGCATAGCAATGGCATTGATAATTGCGTAACTGACGAGGTCTTTGCCTTCTTTGGCCAAAGCACCATGTTTACCCTGCAACTTATCTTTGCACCAAACATAGTACTTGCGAAACCCTGTTGCTAGATGCACATCAAGCAGTTTCTGTGCACGCTTGTTAAAGCATCCAACCACTTCTGACATTTCTTTGAAAAGGGAAGGAAAGAAAGTTCCATCGCACACTAGACAAAGTTGTATAATTAAATTCAATTTAGATAAGATTGTATCAACCTCATTCCATAAAAAAAATCATAACATCGATCCATATGAATCATTCAAATATGAAAACTAAAAATGATATCATCAGCTGATATAAGCATAACAAAATCGTTATCTTCCCGGCTTGGATTAATAAACTAAGGGGGTTTCGATGTGTGTTCTAAAACTGATCATGAAATTATTGTGGTTTTAGATTGTAAATCAATTTCCTTGTTGACATTTAATCAAACACCTTCAGGACAGACTCAACAAAATGAGACGATGAAAGTAAAACGCATCGTCTGCAGCTTGGTTTAAATGCCGAATCAATAAGGATCGACATCTCACATACAATGACAAAACATTTATAGAAAAATGCATAATAAATGGTACCAGAGCAATGATGAGGACAAATTGCAGAGCTGCCGTGAGGAGAATCGTTAAGAGGCGACGGCGATTGTGATCGACGAGAATTCTGTGAAAGAATTGTATCAGTACGGCAGCGCTTCAAGATCTTCTTGAGATTTTTAAAACCCACAGCAGGTAATTTCTTCTGATCTTGCGTTTGCATGTATTCCTGGTATTTCTTGCAGAATTTCATCGTGTTTTTGCAAATTAAATTGGGAATGATGTGCTGCTTCTTATACGTTCCTCTAAATAAATAATTGAAATTTGGCACTTTTCAGGGTCATATGAAGATGCTGTCCTGGATAATTCTAAAACATTAAAATTTCAATATATACAATTTCATACCCTTTACTTTTGAAAGGTAATCGTTGAATGAATATATAATAACAAATGATTTTTTAAATAAAGATGTAACATTTTTAGTATGGAGATTATAATACAATCTTGTAAGGGTGTTCATTTGTTTGAAACGTTTGTCCACTTGTTATGGATTTATTTATAGTCTATAAATACGTATAGTTAAACAACAACATTTTAGGAATCTCATTAGAAAGGGCTAGGGGTGATAGTCTTGTTTCTATCATGGTAGAATGATTGTTTCACATAAAAGACCTCCAACACGTGCAAAATGTAAATCTGTAACGAGGAAAACAAAAAGAGAGTAAGTTAGCGTAATTAACAACGCATAAATAAGTAAATCGTAATACAAGCAAATGAATTCGATGACTTGCAATGGAAGCAAACATAGGGAAGTAAGTCGATGTAAGGATTGATACATAATGAATAAAATAAAAATATAAGCATATAAACATAAAGCATGTATCCACAACAATATCAAAAAACAAAACATGCAAGAGGTAAGCAAGTAACAAAAGAAAATCTACAAATAACACAAACAATTAAGTCATTTATATGGACCTAGCCTACTCAACTATCAAATATTAAACCTCGACACCCTCATATAGGATGTTGTTTGTGTTCTACGAAAGAGTTACCTCTTCTATGATTAGTCATACATCAATACATCATCCTTCTTGGATTTCCTCTCCCCCTCTTACCATCAACCATCATTGAATCAATACTTCTAACCATCCATGATGGTAGTCTCCTTCGGACATGTTCATACCATATAAGTTCCATCCTTTAAATTTAGTTGATCCGTGCCAGTTGCCACTCCTAATGAATATTTGATACCGGAATTCAATATCCCAATCCACTAGCTAGCCCATCATCATCTATGCTACTTCCATATTCCTCACACCCCTTCTTGCTTGACTAACCTTAAAATCAATACATCTTGTCAAGCGTAACATTTTCTTGAAACGAAAAAATATTAATTGAATCCTAACATATTCATATATACCACTTATGTCCACAATGAGACTTGGACCCTCAACCTCATGGAGGGATAACATCACACCATACTATGACAATCACCAAAATTGTCACCAATTGTCGATCGCAAATCCTATGAACGTCAATACAGTAGACTAAATATATAATATTTATCAATCTATGATGAAAATACAAGACTTTATATTCCGATATATAAGAAAAATCAGCTAAATCGCCAGAAAACAAAAAATACAGGTGTCTTGATTTACTTGTTGTACAAATCAAACTTCTAAACCATAATATCTCCTGAAAGGGTGAGTATAACCTTTTGTTGAATTTTAAATGGGTTTGAACCACTAGATCGACCTTCATACGTCATTTGAGAAGAAACTCTGACGAGAAGAGGAGAAAAAGAGAAGAATATATGTGAAATTAGGTTCGATGCACATCCTATATTTGAAACTCAATCATGCCACATAAGATTCGACGTAGCTTCCACATCATAATATTATCATGTCATTTATTTGGTAACCGGTCAATTGGTTGACATTGCAATAAAATTGTAAATGTAAGGACATAGTTGAGAAAAACAAAACACTGTGTCAAAATCGAAACTTACTGACTTTATTGCAATTTGGGAAGACTGGTTTCCTGGAGAACATGGAGAAGCGGTCATTTGGTTGATATTGCAACAAAATTGTAAATATAGTGACTTAATAGAGAGAGAGAGTATCAAAATCAAAATTTTCAGTTAACTTAATGACTCTTTATTGTAATTTAACCTTATAGAAATGGCTAAATGCTCAAAAGTTTGGAATAAAATGTGCTTTTATCAAGACTACTCTCTCTTTCTCTTTACATGAGTCTATCGACCAGAAAAAGAAAAAAGACTTGTGCCTATAATTAGAGAGGAGAGTTGATTAGTTTTTTTTTTTTTTTTTTTTTTTCCCTAAAATGATCTACCAAACTCCCTTTGTATTCTTAAACCTTTCTTTATCAACTAACTCAATTAGCCCAAACCCATAAATTACTTCATTTGTCAATTAATTAAATTTTTAACTATATAAACTATTTTATTTCATTTATAATACATAAACTTCTTTATTTATCTCGTTTTTACCGATGAATAATAAACAATTATTATTTACTTAGTTATTGAAGTTGTTAAATAATAAATTTATATATTATAAATCTATTATTTATTCATTTATTTTTTGGAACGTCTATTTAAATAATTATAAATATATTATTTATTTATTCATTGCATGCATCTTAATTTTTAAATAGATATTTTTATAAATATCTCGGTCTTTAATTAAAAATTTTCAATCGAAATATATGTTAAAATACGTAAATTAGGATTGAAAAAAATATAGACATACTCCTTTAAATATAGAATACAAAATCTATAATAATAAAGAGAGAAAATAATAAATTTGTTGTTTGTACTCGAGAAAAAAAATTGAGATTTAAATCTTTAAATTATAAATTAAAAAAAAGTCTTTATAGACATACTTTTTTTATGAAATTGGTTTTGAAAAAGACAAAAAATCAAATGGAAAAAATCTAGGGTAAAATAAATGGATCAAACCTATAACGAATCTATCAAATTTAGACTAAATGGAGTGGCTGTCGGCCTGTCGCTAAGAGGATCGCCAACCTTTTAGCATGTCTTGAACACCTCCCCTTAGAGTGCGCTAAGGGTGTACACCATGGCTCATTAAAGAGAAAGAAGAGGCTTTGATGGGTTGTTAATGATTTTTTTTAATCAAAATCGAATAAGACACTACCATTTCTTAGTATTGTGTGCTTGTGTGTCAATACTGTTCCCTCTAGCCTTATAGTAAAAATATACACCACATATTTTGTAGTCTATAGAAATTCAATTTTTTTTCCCAAAACACATTGACTAAAATATACTCCCTCCGTCCCAAAATTATTGTCCACCTTACTATTTTAGTTTGTTTCAAAATTATTGTCCACTACCAAAAGTAGATATACACTTTTACCATATTACCCCTAACATTTAATAAAGTAAACTTGAATAATTACAAACGCTCATTTCCCATTGGTTTTACAAAAGGGTAAGAGGGTCATTTTACTTAAAAAGACAAAACTAATGATTGTTTTTCTTAATCCATGTGTTTTTTTTGTCTGTGGACAATAATTTTGGGACGGAAGGAGTATTTACTTTATAAAATTAAATTAAAAAAAAAAAGCCAAGAGCCGGAGTATAGTATACATGTTGTAATAAATCCGTGGCCGTCGTAATCGGTTCCATTGGCCACGTAATCTGACAGGCCGGATTGAATGAGAAACTTTAGTACAAATCAGATTATATAATCCGAAATATTTTCCATATATTCATCTATTTTTCCCCGAATTTCGTCTCAGATAATCTCCTTATCTCAACGTGTTTTCCGCTGATTCGATTCAATGTAAGAATTTCGATTTACATCAACAGAAAATTTGTGATAAAGTCATGGTTGCTTCAAAAATCACTGACGTCATCAATGCCGATGTTGCCGATAATGCATCGCCGGCGTTAGGTTGCTCTTCATCGGTTCCTTGCTCGATTTGTTTCGATTTAGTCATCGATGAAGGGGAGAGGTCCACAGCCAAGCTTCAATGCGGCCACAAATTTCATCTTGGTGAGAACCATTTCGATCTTTTATTTCGATTCAAATTGTGAATCGATCGTTCGACGATTTCAAAACTCAACGTTGGTTCATTAGTTGCAATTTTTATTTTACTTATTAAGGTAACAATAATCGCTAATTGTACCCGAACTTTGTGACTTTTTTGTCGATTCTAATTGCAGTGACCAAATTTATGTATGCATATATATGCAATGTCGTTTTTTCACTTTGAGAATTGAACTCGTTTAATATATTTCAAACTGCAATCTGAACTCAAAGTGTTGAGGATGCTATAGAAGTGTTTATTGGTGCATAGGCAATTATAGAACTACATTAGAATTAATTAGCACATCATTCTGGACTACTTGAGGTGACAATTTGGGAGGAAAAGAAGATAAGAGTCGGAATAGGTTTGGTTTCTTGTTTGAGAAGAAGGGTAAAGATTGCTAGTAGCATTATTAGGCTCATTCTACTGTATTCCATAAGTTGAATATAGTTCATCAACAACTGAAGTAATCAATACTGAATCTAGAACAGGGTATAACGACACTGAAACTAAATATTATCTCATCATAACCTAATCCTTACCTATGAATGTGTTGCATTATTTTCTTGCTACAGAATGCATGATTTAAGTTTTAACCTGGTTGTGATATACAGATTGCATAGGATCGGCTTTTAATTCCAAGGGAACAATGCAATGTCCAAACTGTCGAAAGGTTGAGAGTGGCAGATGGCTGTTTGCAGATGCAATTTCTGAGACTAGTGCAAGAGACTGGATGCCAAATGAGGGCCCACATGACTTAAGCTATTCCAGAAGGGTGAGTTACTTAACACTTAACATATTCTTTCATCAGTAGTATTTAATAACTGAAACTTTTTTTCAGCCATTTGGGTTTCACTGGTGTCCTTTCAGCGGATTTACAGTTCATTCATCAATTGAGTAAGCCAAGTCTCCTCTTTATACTTTCAGTTAATCAGATATGGAAATAATGACTGACCTTTATGTATGTATCTGTAAATGTTTTCAGGGAATCCGAACCTTCATTAAATACATGTAAGCTTTTTCAACATTGATGCTATAAAATAAATAATACTACACCAGTAAATAAAATAATGTTGTGTATGCAGTTACTAACTTCCAGGCAAACCATCCTATGATTATTGACCATACAGCTTCAGCTCCCTCTTATATTTCATATTTTCAACCAAGTGAACATGCTAATAATTTCCATCATCCCTTGAATTTCATATCTACCCCTCGTGCCACTAACATCCAACACCCAACTTGGGGGTGGAACTGTCATTTCCTTCCTTACAATGCGGACAGAGACCATGGTATTCCTGCCACATTGAGATCCACCTCTTTTCTTCATCCATTGCACTATAATACCCAACAGTAAGCTCTCCCATTTTTTTCTTTTCAGTTTCATAAATAATACAACAGAATGGAATGGAGTATTAAATTCCATTATCAATATTTTAAAACTGTTTCCTAGCTAAAGTTTAACATTTTTAGGAGATTGCGTATGGTGTTGCCAGCTGTCAGCAATCGAGGTGATCATGGTGGTAGGCGTGGGTTTTACATACATGAACATGAACATGAACATGAACAAAGTTCCTACAATTCTTATTATCGTACACATGAAAGAGAGTATGACTCATCACATGTTCCCATCATGAACAACCCCCGGGGATCAGGATCAGGATCATTTCATCATCGGACTCACTGGTCTTAAAAAAAAAAAGGTGAGTCCTCCTGTTACTGTTAATACTTTCACAAATTTTACAAACAAAACCAGTCAACCATTACATATCATTCAAGAATATTTTATAAGAGAGATTCCACTTAGATTTATTCTGGGGACTGGGAATCGGGGTATTTGCCTATTTCTTCTTGGATGACCATATGAACATTTCTATATATATACACACAATTGGTAACCAAGGAGAACTTTGTAATTTTGTATATTTCTATGTGTTGATATTGTGAAAACGATATATTTGTAATTGTATGCCCTTACAATGAGGCGGAGATAGTACCCATTAGATTTGATCTAAACCGTCCATCAAGGTTGAATTTGAAATTATATTTTCTCTTTGATGGTATGGTTACTATATTCCATTGTGAAACCAAATTTCCATACACCAACCATATCAGGATATATAATTTCTTTACATCACAATCACATATATACAAAATCATAAACGAGTCTTTGTTGTATGGGTGGCAAAATGATTGTTTTGGGCATGATTGGGTAACCACTCAAAACATGCAATTTTTTTAGGACTGAACTTTTTGTCCTGTTTCTTAATTTAATTATATATATAAAGTATCATTACAAAAGCTATTATTAAAATAAGGATTTAAATTTTTTAATAAAGTTACGTAATAGGTTGTAAACAAACTTTTAAATGCATTTTAGATCACTTTTAGACTGCTCACTTCATTTTCTGTTGAAAAAAATAAGGTTTGTTTCGTTAATTTAGGCAAAATATAAAATAATCGGGACTTTTCTGTATAAAAAATAAAAGTTTGGATTAAACCGTAAACTGATCAAGAATATTGTCCAATAGAGTAAAGACTCAAATTCAACTCTATTTTACACTCTATAAATAGAGAAATGAATAGTTACACTCTAAATTTGGAGTGTAAGTTATATCATCTCATCTATTTTTACACTTTATTTTTAGAGTGTAAAATAGATTTTAGAATGTGGTTGCAGATGAAAGACTCTAAACACTATTTTACACTCTAAAAATAGTGTGTGGTTGGAGATGCTTCTATAGCCAAATTATAAAAGTGTGAGATATGGACCTTAGTGACCTTAAAAATCAAATCGGTCTTACATAATGACCTCTTGACTGAGAAAATCGCAAAATAACTACGGTATTTGAAATTTGACAATTTCGAAGTTAAATTTTCGAACTAAACAGATTTCCAAAATTGTTTCTACCGACATAAACTACTTTGTAATTAGCCAAATTATAAAAGTTTGAGTTATTGACCTTAGTGACCTTAAAAATCAAATTGGTCTTACATAATAACCTCTTGACTTCGAAAATTGCTAAATAACCGTGTTAACACGCTGTCGCGCGCGTATTAAGCAAATAAATTATCACTGTTGGGTGCACTAAAAATATAGCACGGGGAAGTAGGGTCGAATCCTCAAGGACACAACCTAAAAGTCAATGTCTTTTTGCATCAGACACATCTTGTCAAGAAACAGAATATAAAAGAGGGTTTTAATTAAAAACTAAAACTAAAAATGCAGTGCTATTAAATTAAACGAAAATCAATATAAAAAAAGGATTTCAGTTCTGCTACGACTTTCCTAATCATGCAATCAATATTGACCTGATTATTTGAGATGTGTTCTATCTAAGCTGGTACTGAGAAAAACTAACAAACTCTAGTATAATCTCTTTTACCTAAATTAGTTAATCAAAACAAGCTCTTTGAATTAACCCTAACTTTTTACTGTTCATTTAAACAAACTCTTAATTAAATCAGAAAAGCTGCATTAAGTTCTATGTAAAATTCCCAGCAATACCCAATACTTCTCACAAGCTCAGAAACGTAAAGATATGATTTTTTACAGTTTATACCAGAGTTAATCCCAAAACGGAACCAATCTGATACTTGTTACTTTTACCAGTTGACAAGAACAATTACAGATTCTATTAACTGATTAACTGAAATGATAAAACCCTAGCTAGGCGATCAGACTAACAAGAATCAAAATCAAACATTCATTAAGAACAAAACTGAAGAATCTAGATAGAAACACAAATCAAAAACCAGATCTAAAGATCAATCACATGGAAAGTACTCGTCTTTGCAGAGCTGAAAACTAAGGTTTTAGCCAGACATGGCTAAAATCTGATAAAAACAAATGAAAAGAGACATCAAACAACTAATCTTACTAATCTACTTGAAGGAGATGATCCACAGTCTTCAGATCTTTAGAAATCGTTGAAATCGGAGAAGAAACGCCTCCAAAGTCGTATTTTCATCGTTTGGAACCTCTGGAATCCCCAACTTCGGTTACTGGAAGGTTATGAGGGTCTATTTACACGTCCAACAGCAAAAACGACGCGCATGCGATCGCATATAGACAACTTGCGATCGCATGTATTAAAGAAAACGCGTCCCGGGCCTTTTAAATGAAGTACAATACCATTTCGAGAAATTTTGGCCAACCTGCGATCGCATGGGCACAACCTGCGATCGCGTGTTTTGAATTTTCACTCCCGGATGAATTTTTGGCACAAAAAACCTCGAAGACAAGCTGCGACTAAAGATGCGATCGCATAAAGGCCCATGCGATCGCATAGTGACAACATGCGATCGCATAACAACATGCGATCGCATGTTTAGCCTATGACGTCCGAAATTTCGTTTACTTTTCAGATCATTTTAAATCGCGTCAATCGGAGTTACGGTTCATGAGATATGGTCAAAATACTGACAGGGGGTCAAAGCTGCCAGCAACATCCTTTAACTTTAGATTGCAGATTCTATCTTCGTGTGATCAATTCGATCGAATGTTTCTTGACCAAAGCATCTTCCAATCATTCCTCAACATACTCCATAAGTCCCAAGCTCCATTTTAAGCTCCAAACATGCATCCAGCTACTCCCAAAGCACTGCTCCCCTTGAACTATCTGAAATTGACATAAAAACATGAACAATACGAGAATTCAAACGAAAGACATGAGCTGAACATTATTTAAATAAATGACATGTAAATGTACAAAATATTATGCTAAAATGATAATAAAACGACCCCAAAAGATGCATGAAATGACATCTAACAAACCGCAGTATTTGAAATTTGACAATTTCGAAGTTAATTTTTCGAACTAAACAAATTTCCAAATCGCTTCTATCGACATAAACTACTTTGTAATTTTTGAACATGTGTAAAATTGTACGAAACTATAAAGGTGACACGATCTTTTCAAATAAGCATATCTACTTCGAAATTTCGAAATTCCGGAACATTTCAACCACCTTACGCTTAAGATAACATTTTAGAAAACACTAGCTTAGGAACCAAAAAAACCATAGTGGATCCGGCATGCCAAATGTTTAGAGGTCCTCTACATACTTGAAGAACATGGTAAAGAAGAAATGACAGTTATGAAATACACCACATCGGCATGAAGTGAGTATAATATACATTTGCCAACAAATATTAATTATGTTGATTGGATTCTAGTTGTTGTTAGCAAAGTTTATGTAACTGAATCACATATAAGGTTATATTCTTAACCTCCTGAATGCATAATGTATGTAATCAAAATAATTTGTTGATCTATATAATTATGTTGATGATATAGACCTAAGTACAAGAAAAACCATCATTTTTTAGATGTTGCCTTACCCACTGCAACTTTCAAATCCCGTTTTCATAGAGGAACCATCAATCGCTCTCAAACCAACACTTAATATTATAAATATGGTGTTATTAAAAAACAAATAAGATCTGAAAATATCGTTGGGTTTGAAATGTGTTCAAGAGGGATTTGATATAAAAGTGACGAAATCCACGACATACAGGTTTTAGGCAAAATGTTATGAAAACAAAAACCAACCCATAAGTATTAGGCTATATTAGCTAAAGATGTTAATTTGTTACGAATTTCATATATAACATAATAAACACACATGCATATACAACCCCAATGCATCCCAACCATCGTCAAGCAAACAAAAATGTGTTGGGCCATTATTAAAGGTGTAATGGCTAATAATAGTAATGAGAGTATTATGTATCATTCGTGATATAAATGTTCAATTCAAAAAAGATATTTTAAGGCTCAAGTTTGGGGGTGTGAAATGCGAGGCATTGCAACTTTTATAAGGGACCATGGAAAACTTGTCCACGCAACTTCCTAACCTGTGGTCATAATCTTAAAAAAGCAAGTGAATGCATCATAACACATCAAGACAGTCGGTTTGAGTTATTATTCCTTACGCTTGGTTGTGTGATAAGATTCATATTTATTATGCCGTAAACATTATATGTATATCATATAATTTATTGCTAAAGTCATATCATTCTGGATGTTTGTTACAAGTTTGCACGGAGTACCCATTATAGATATTGCCCACTTGAAATGGAATTACGAGAGAATGTTGCTTCTAATGGTAGTCATGGATGGATAAAACCAAACATTGATATTGGCCTATGAGGTGGGGAAGGTAGAGGATGGGGAATCGTGGATTTGTTTTTTATAGAAACTCCACAAAGTTGTCACATGTAAGTTATTTGGAAGCTTGGTCATCATATCAGATAAAGCTAAATCTATTGATGTGGTCGGACCTTTCGGTGATTCTGGCGATCGGGATTCTTCTTCATCTGAGAGAGAGAGAGAGAGAGAGAGAGAGAGAGAGAAGAGAGAGAGAGAGAGAGAGAGAGAGAGAGAGAGAGAGAGAGAGAGAGAGAGAGAGTGGGGCCTAATGCTTTTTTTAAAATTATAAATAATAATAAATAGTATTAGATTAATTGAAAAATAAATATATAAGGGTATTATGGTCATTTCAGATATAGCACGGACTAAAACCGTAATAAAATTGTCTTTTAGGGATGAAACGTGAAAGTTTGAACCGACGGTCCAAGTTAATTTTTGAAATTAGAGACTGAATGTGTCTTTTGGCACCTGGACGAGAAACGATTAGAGACGATTCGTGTAATTTACTCAACTTTAGGTATTTCAAAAATAAAGTAATACTTCGGAAAAAAAACTTTTTTCGAACTGAATCATTATTTTATGAAACTCTAATGTCATCATGTTATGTATTAGGTGCTGTTTGTTTTTTCTGAGACAAAATGTCTGCAGTCTGCGGACCACATCTGTAGACCTCTGCAGTAGAAGAGGTGCACCAAACGTCTGCAGTCTGAAAAAAAAAGACTGTTTTTTTTTTAACATCTGCGGGCTACTAAAATAAACTGAAATATAAATAAACTGATTTTTTTAAACTTCAAAGTGATTTTTTAATATTTTTATGACTTTGTTATAAATAATTAACGAATCTAGATCAACTTTTATGTATTATTGTATAAAAAATAAAAATAAATATGGTATGAATTAACATATATATTTGATAAAACCAACAACTTTAGTTGCAAAGTTATAACTAAACGTTATAATTAGTGATCAAAGAATTTGATACATAAATAGATGGAAATAAACTTCGATTTTTTCAATTAAATCTATTAAAAACGTACCATAAATATTTTCTCGAGAAATTGACGATACTGTATTAAATAATGTTTTACAAAATTTGGCAAAAAAATATAAGAATATATTTTGATTTTTTTTTTCATATTTATATAAACAACTTCAACGATTATTATTGTAATAAATCTTTATTTATAAATTTGTCAAAAATATCATGTTTGTATCGTCGAACGTTTTTTTTTAAGTTTTGTAATTTTTTTTTTCAAATTGTTTATCATTAATAAAGTTGGAAAAAATATAAATTAAAAAAAAAACTTAAAAAAAATAAAGATATATATGTTTTTTTAGGCTAGAAGATGTCTGGTCCACATCTGCGCCAAGAAGAGGGCGCGCAGACATTTTTAGGTCTGCAGTCTTCAAAAAAACAAACAGTCTGCGAAGGCTAATGTCTGCACGTGGTCTGCGCGGCGCAGACAGAAGAGGCCACGCAGATTTGCAGACAAAAAACAAACACTACCTTAGTCATGTGATTTTAAGGTAATTGAATAGTATCTCTCTAAAACTTTACTATTAAGTGGGCTGTGGTAATGGACTCAAAGTCTCAAACAGTCAAATGGTCAGAAACCTGGTCCACCAAAAAAAAAACAGCTTGAATAGCTGACGACCCATATCATAAACAGCTGTATTTTTTTTTCTCAAATTTGAAAAAGTTGCTATTCTGAATGAACCTAGTCGTAGAAGGAACCAAAATGAGATCCGTTACATCAACTTTTTGTCTGATGTCAAATTGTCGAATTTATTGGGTCATGGGTCGTATTCATATTTTCTTCTTAATCGAAAAGAATTTAGATGTGTCAACTTTGTGGACATATATATCTTACTTTGTAATATGAAAAGGTTTAGATGCCATTGCATTGGGGTTTTAAGGTGGTATGTCAAGATCAAAAATGGACCGTTTTAGGCGATTGTTTTCATTTTTATTAAAGTTTGAAAACAACAGGAGTGGTTGGGTCTTGATTGAAACAACTATTAAAGGAAGGCACTGAAACAACTATACAATATTGTTGATGGGACTAACAGTTTTTTGCCATACACAACTATAAATATATAAAAAAAGTATATCATTGTTGTGTATGACAAGAAACTATTGTGTACAAATCAGTTCTCATTGTTGATAGGAAACTGGATCATGCAATCAATAAACGAGTTCCAGATCTTCTAAAAAAATAGAGATCATCAACTCCTAGCAAAATTATATCAAGGTTTTGTTAATTTGATTAAAAAAACATAGTTGAACTTAAGGAATATATCATAGGTGCAATTACAGACCAAAAGTAATTATCAGATAACATAGAATCGAATACATAAAGGAAGTGATATAAGCATGGGATGCTTGAAGCAATTAACAATCTAATTAATAGAGATGAAGTTAAAGAAAAATAAGGCAATACTTATCTTCAAGTGTACAATGGCCAATCAGTCCAGGCACCAGACACATGTCCATTCTCACAGACATAAGCTCGAACAACTGGCTCCCCATCATCATGGAATCCATAAGCAGGCCTCAAACAGAAAGCCGACTGCAAATCCCACACCTCATTGCTAGGACAAAATGCACAATTCAGATCAATCTTGCTACGATTCCCATCGTTAATGGTCCTCCAAACCCTAGATTTCTTGAAATTCTTAAAAACACCCCGAAACAGCATGTAATTTCGCTTCTCCTCAGTATGAACACAACCAGGCCAATCACAAATGTATAAACAATCGCCTCTAAACCTACTAGCCAACAGCTTGTTTCCTTGCTCCCGGCTGAAATTCCAACCCTCAGATGCTAAATGAGACGTAAAAGATCTACACATCTTTCTCCTCTTACAAACAGCAAAATCACAAGCTGTTTTAACAACAGCCGAAGCTTTTGTGTCTTCTTCTTCGCATACCTCAGTCTCACCTTGATCTTGAGATTTGGAAGCGGTGTTATAAACAGTATCCAAGTAGAGATCATCGTACAACGACCACGCACAATCAGACGTAGTAACAGAAACATTAGCCTCTTTCATCTTATCATCATCAACAGTGCTAGAACAGGAAGGATTTGGTTGAGACTTACCTATCTGAAACAATTTCGTTTCCTGAAAGTTTTCGTCGGGACCTAGTTCACGCTCCAGTCCGAAATCGGAATTCTCGAGGAGGACACCGGAATGCATGAGGCCAGGACAGCAGACGGCGAGCTTGTGCAGCGACGCCCAGCCGCCTGGAGGAGATACCGTTGAATTGACGGAGGCGTCTGGTGGGAGAAGATTGAAGACGACGGCGGGGATCATTTGATGGCATTTGTTCTTCCAGCAAATCGTGCGCATCAGAAATGAGAATTTGGTGCAAACGCAAGCGAGACGCGACCAGTTACGCGGATCATCAACAAGCTTGAGGAATATGTTAAGAACTACATCATCGGGGAGATACGAAAACACATTTTCAGCTACAGTTTCAGACATTTCTTATCAAATCACCAGTAAAAACACATCGAATTGGTGTCCGATTCGTTTGCTCTGGATTAACGAATCAGAAAGAAGAAGCGTTAGGTTAGAATTCTCAAGTCTAGGGCTCAAGGTAAAATTGATGATCCGAATCAGGGATTTGATTCGGGTGAGAGGGTTTTGAGTGGGCAAAGCTTTTTTGGGGGAATTGACAGCAGAATAAGACGGTGTTAGCCTTAACGGCATCTTGTACGACATAATCTCCATCAACCAATAGTTTGGGAGGACGTGTGTCGTATATTTGTTTACTATATAACGTTTAATTCCATGGCTGTAGATGAGCCTAAGTTATTCGAGCTCGTTTAAGTAGCATCTTTATCGAATTCAGGTTAGGATATCAATATATATAAAATAAAATAAAATAAAAATAAAATAAAAACAAGTTTGAAACATACAACCAGTCAGCTCAAGATTGTAAGGACTAGATTTGATCGTATCGAGGCTTTGGAATTTATATAATACTCCCTCCGTCCCAATATTATTGTCTACAGACAAAAAACACACATATTAAGAAAACATTAATTACCACTAACTTTATTTAATAAAATTACAACTTTGCCCTTACTTTGCATTAAATGTTCCATTAAATGTTTACTTGGTTAAGTAATAATGAGAGGGTATTTTGGTAAAAATGTTATTTATTTTTAGAAGTGGATTATTATTTTGGGACAAACCAAAAATGAAACATGAACTATAATTTTGGAACGGAGGGAGTATGTAAGTTGTAAATAAGCTGGTTAAATACTTAATTGAGCATGGTTAATAGTAAATACTCAACACAAATTACAAATTGGATTCTTCTTCGAGACAGCTTTAGACCTATATCATAAAAGGTGTTGAGTGTTTTCTTTATATAATGGGGTTCCATTTTTTCTCAATCTATGCAATAAGTTTGAGTTTTTAAACGAAATATAAAATCACAGTTCATTCTAAGAGTATAATATGCTAACATTGTATCAAATATCTTTAGTACATGCAGTGACACATGTTAAATACTTACTTATACCATGCAACATTATTTTATTTTTGTACCAATTTTACGCTACAATATTTCATATTTTTACTAATTTGTATAACTTATACAACCATATTCTACTTGTAAAATACGGCATACGGCATACGGCATTTGGCATATTGACAAACTTTTTATTTAAGTAATAATCAGTGGTGAATTCACTTAACAAAAATATTCTTATATGCAAACACTAAAAATATTTTATTACCAATACCAACTTAAGACTTTAAATAAACAAACCCCGTAAATCACCTGTCATTAGAAAATTTGTTAGATATCTAATATGTATTTTTTTTTAAACTTATATTTTAACATTGAAACTTGTTGCTATTGTGAGATTTTAGGTAATTGTCTTTAGATAAAGAAATTGTCTTTGATTATTTATATATTAGGAGTCAAGTAATCAATTTCGTATCTATTGCAATAAACCTGTTATCAAATAGCAAATAAAATTACATATTTAGCCATTAGTTTATTTAACCTAGTGGTTTTTTGGTTTAAAAGATATACAACATATTTGCTTTTATACCTTTTTGTACTGGTATAGTGTATAACATTTTTAACCTTTGATGAGAGACTGGTAGCCTTTTTTAATGAACTAAAAAAATAAAATTTTTGTCCAGTTGATATCTGTGTGTTCTATCATGTGATGCATAACAAACAAAGCCTTTGTTCCAAGACTTCCAGACAACACAAACACCATAAAAGATTACCATAAATGATGCAAAGTTTTTTATGTACCAAGTGATACATGAAAAACAAGAACAAATTGTTTCAAATAGAGCAGAAACTAACACCAAACTCAGTCACATAACTGAAACAAAATCACAAATCCATTCTTCCCGAATCTCATCAATAATCATAATCATAATCATAATCCACCACTATTAATAACTGAAATAGTAAGCAACATCACCATATCACTCATGCTCCTTTTCCACTCCCTCCATAATCATCAACCCGCTAACTTATTACCTGGATACATATATCTTTAGAGAGAGAGAGAGAGAGAGAGAGAGAGAGAGAGAGAGAATGAGGCTAAAAAATTATATACCGAGATAAACTCTTGCTCCTGCTTCTGCTGGGGCTCTTGCTAGGACTGCGTCTTTTTGGGCTTTTACTTACCCGCTTAGGGCGCTGAACTCCAATGTCACACAATCATTATATGGACAAATAAATCAAAAAATAAGATGCTATAAATAAACAAATAAATCAAAAATTGTGTTTAGACCAAACTACAAAAAGGTTAAAAATTAGCAGATTAGATAAAATTATGGTTTGAGTTTGACTTACAGATGGTAGGGGAGATCTGGATCTTGAAGGAGATCTGCAAAAGTTCCAGAAACAAGCGAGTTTAATATCCACATGTTCCTCTGATCCAAGAGAGAGAGAGAGAGAGAGAGTGGGAGAGAGCCTTGATGCCCACTTCCATAATCAATAGAGTATTAATCAACGCAAAATCCACACATGTTTAGCAGCCCAACAGAGACCAATATACCACATGCAGGATCTAATCAATTACGAGGTAACCAAAAATAAATTATAATTAAATTTATTAAGCCGTGTATTGTATATGTGGCAATCAGATGGTCCAAATTTGTTTTTGTACCGTATAGTCCCCTACTTCACATTCCAGCTTTACCATTGCAAATCCATTTCCATCATTCTTCTTCTTCCCAATATGCTTATTTAACAACACCACAAGGAATTCCAAAATTCGCATCTACAAACCACAATACCTCAACAACCAAAAGTGTTATAGGCAATTGCACCATATCCCATCATAATCCCATATACCCATATCTAAAAGTAGCAAAGGAAAAAAAAATATATATATATATATATATTCCAACTCCCCAATGTGTGCATGAGTTTTCTCAAGTATTTTTTAAACATCATTTTATCCAGACAACGAAAAGCATTGAAAATGAGATAAGCAACAATGCATAGTAACTAAACAGTACTGGCAGTATCACTAACATGGTAGAATAAGACTTGTTCATGTCATCATAAAAATATAGAATCTTAAGTCAGAAAAAGCAAAACAAAAATATTACAAGGGAGAAAAGAAGCATGCCTTGATTTAGATCCAGAACGAGGTGAGACAGATCTTGAAGCTTTGGGTTTTGCTTTTGGGGACTTGCTGCATCAGAATTTGAACATATGTTTGTTAATTTCATTTTCATGACATGTCAGATAAATGATGCAATAAGAAAATGTTTCAACCTTATGCTCCTGCTGCGACTCCTGCTATAGCTCCTGCTTTTGCTTCGACTGCGACTCCGGCTCCTAGAATGGCTTGAATCATATTCCTTCACCTACAAGTAGATTAAAAACATACTTTATAACCCATGAATATATATATATATATATATATATATATATATATATATATATATATATATGCTTGAAATATTAATCATATATCTATATATATGCATAGTTTCCATATTAATTAATTGAAACCATACACGTATGTATCCACGAGAGAAGGCGTTTCGAAACTCAGAGTCATCCAATTTCCGTATCTGTAAGCAAAATTATAAAAGAAATTATAAGCTTCAAATTTTAAACATAGCCCTGAAGAGGTGAAATAGAAAAATGTTTACAGCATATTTCATGTCATCATAGTTTGTGTAGTCCACAATCCCTGTAGTACCACCACCCTCCCTAAAAACTTGGGAGAAACAAACATCTCCAGCCCTGCGCATGTGATCCTTTAGGTCTTGCCATGATGCAGAAGAGGGTAAGCCAGTCACCATAACTGTGTCAAATATAATAAAAAAAATTATATTTGAGAAATTAGTATTCATAATGAAACATGTAAAAATAAAATAAAGACAGACCTCTGTAATCAGAGCGTCTAGAAACTCCACCACTGCGACCACCACCACCACCGCGACCACTGCCATAACTGCCATGACGGTCTGTAGAAGATGAGTTACCACGACCACCATGGGCGAGTTCCACCTGTTCAAAGTATTCATATTAAATGTTTTGACTATAATAGAAACAAGGTAATAATGATATTAAATGTGGGAGTGGGACCCACCCTTAATCTGTGTCCATCAAAATCATAGCCATCGCGACCACGAATAGCATCTTCAGCATCACGAGCCTCTTCAAACTAAAAGAAACAACATTAACATGTATCAGGAAAACAATGATAAAAATGAAAACAATGATGAAGCTTACCTCAACAAAAGCATAACCTGGAGGCCTTGGTGGAATTTTCAAATCAATATGGGCTATGCGGCCATACTGCAACCAAATAAATAAAAATATACAAAATTTATTAATACAACCTTTAGATTAATCATTCATCTCATTCTTACTCTTGGGTAAGATGGACATATTTAATACATGAATGAATCAGATTAACTTTCTCCTTCCAAAAGCTTTTCACAAAAGAGTGATGTTGCTTTCCAAATGAAGTGCTTCATATGAGTTACTATTTTTTCCTGGTTAATATGGTAAATCATATTGATTTGTGCTTTGAAATATATATCTTCTAAAAATCCAACTAATTCACAACTCTTGGAAGCGGAAATGCTGTCCACTTTCACCAAGGCATAAAATCTAGCAAATGCACTTAAATGGCTACGTAAAACCCTAGAAAAATGTTTGGAACCAAGTTTTGGAATGTAGAGTTCAATTTGAAACCGTGTTGTGATGTGTAAGGAATCAATTTTGAAAACCATATGCTGCCACACTTGTGAAACCATTTGTTGGGACATGTGAAACTCAGTTTGAAACCAGGCGTAATAAAAATACGAGTTCAAATTTGGGTGTGACTCTGAAACCGGATGTAATTACCTTGTAAAACAAATCTTCCACTTCTCGCTCGCGAATATCCCCAGGGAGATTGCCAACATATAGAGTTCTGCTAGAGCGACTCATGTTCCTGGTGGCACCAAAACTAAGAAAGGTTAAAAAACATAACACTATCAGAAAAATAAAGAGACCCAATGTTCCTGGTGACATGAAAACTGCGAGAATTTAAAACTCAATTTACTCAGAGAAATTTAAAATAATTCAATAAATAAGAAGCGCACCCAAAACTTTCTAAATTAACCTAAATTATAAAATCAAATTACTAGTTTACACAAAGAACTGCAAAAATCGACTGCATAACCTTGCGAATGAACAGACCTATTGAATAATAGAAAAATCCAACATTAAAGCTAACCAATTTTGAATTCAGGGATGAATACGTGCATGCATATGCGCGAGTAAGCGGAATCTGAGTACGGAAAAACGAAAAATTGATCTACTGAAGGTGGATGTTGGTGTACCTTGATGATGAGAAAATCTGGCAGTGAGGGCGATTTAGTAGAGAGAATTTCGACAATTAGGGTTTTGAGAGAGGGACGATCACTATAGCCGTTGAAAGAGATCCATTATCACATGTGGTATCGCGTAGGTAGGATCTTTGATAAAATATCAAATCTAGCGGTGGATATTTGCCTGCCGAATCCGGTCATAAAAACTTAGGCTGGCCCAATGCTAACGGACTTTTTAATCTTTCTTACCTAAAACAAAAATGTGATCATGCAAAATACCTTAATAGGCCGTCCTGCGGTTTAGAGTCAAAATTACAAACCGCACGGTGATAGTTTTAAACCATATTATGCGGTGCGGTCTAATTTTATGCGGACGGTTTGTGCGGTTTATACAGTTTGACAAACATAAATAATTAAATTTAGCCAAATCTTTGTTGAGTATATACATCATTGTATTTTGTTTTGTATATGTAAGGTGTTTTGCATGATTATATTTTGTTTTCTCAAACTCTATTTTCCTTTTAGTGCTTTAGAATAGTCCAATCAGATAGAATGACAAAATTGCTAATACGTTATCAACATGGTTTATTAATGTTTATAAACATTTGAAACTTGTATATGTCGATTTAAAAAATGTGAGCTAACAACCAAATATATACTTTCATTGATTTCTATGTGAAGCAAAAGCACCATTGCACCTCCTACATTCTCATTACTAATTATGACTGCTCAAAGTTTTTGTAAACTATAACCGTTATTGTTTCATGCATATAGAAAAGTTACTAGATCATTATATATATAATATGTGGTGTGGTGCGGTTTTAACTGCAGTATTGTAAATAAAAACCACAAACTGAACCGCATAATGCGGTTTAACAAAATTACACACCACAATTCGCACCGTAAAAGTTATAAACCGCGTTATGTGGTGCAGTTTGGTGTGGTGCGGTTTGATACACACCCCTACCTAAAATGTATACAAATTTTTTTAGAAACAAAGACATGGGTTGCAGCCTATGAACAAGATCAGGTTTGAAGGCAAGATGTTACCGTCATGTTTGGAGTCGATCTTTGTTAATAGTTGGCTTCGTTGTTGTTTTTTTTTTTTTTTTTTGGGGGGGGGGGGGGGTATTTGGAGAGTGGTTTTTGGTGTATACATGTTTGCTTTCCCTTGCTTTTTCCATTTGTGTCATTCTAGGTCTCTCTAAAGTTGATTTTCATTTGTTTCTTTCGTCATTCTTCCGTTGTTGGTTGGTACATTGTCTAGGGTTTTCTTCCTGCATTCATATGCATCTATTTTGTTATTGTTTTGTGGGTTTGTTGGTTTCTATTGTCCTTAGATTCTTTTGTTTGTATATGCATTTTATGTTTTTTTGGGCAATTACATGTACTGTTGGTTCGTCTCTCCGTTGCTGAAAGAGTAGAAGGGGTAGTTCCATTTTCAAACTGGGGCAATCGTCTGGGTTTGGTTACTCTTGCAGGCAATCTCGTCGTCGTCCTTCTGAGATAAGTTCTACTTTTGGGTTACTTGTTTTTTTTTAGAGACCACTTCCGTTGTATGATGATTATGAGGACAGTGTGTAACGTCCAAAAAATCATAATAAAATTTTTTCATTTTAAAAAAAAGGAATAAAACATTTTTCTATAAAACATCAGTCATTGAGATATTGTTTCACAACCATATTATAAAATTAGAGTATCATAACATAGTATCTCTAAAAAACATATAAATCACTAGATGAGGTGTATAGTCAAGTCTTCGTCTTCCCCCGATCCTCTAATGTACATGAAACATTTAAATCCACAACTGCTAGTTAAAGCTTAGTGAGTTCCCCAATATACCTATCACAATAATACACATATAATGCATGCACACATAAGTCTTCAGTCTGACAGGACCGTCTCGCAAGGCCTACAATACACTTGGATTGCTCTCATAAGCCATCATATAGTTGGACCGCTCTCCTGAGCCTACAACACGGATCTAGACCGCTCTCATTGGGCCTACAATATCAACTGGACCGCCCGGGTATCCTGTTCTTGGGCCGTGACACTACAAACAAAATTACATTTAGTGACACAAGTTTTTAATGGCACAAGCCTTTGTGCCACTATTTTATTGTTTTTAGTGGAACTTATCATTTTATGCCACTTTATGATTGAAAATTCTAATTTTCATGTTCCCTTTCCTAATTCCCCCCATGATTAAAATGCTTCCGCCAACACCAAAATTTTAAATTTTAATCAGACCTACACACTTAAACTTTCGTTGCCTTTTTTGAGATCGTAAATTTTCCTACTTTGTTGCTTGTGTATCACAAATCGGACAATAATTAGAGCCGAGAAAGAGGGACAAAGGCGAGATTATGAGAGGGGGTCAATGTAAAACACATGATAGGGGTGCATGGATCTTCAGTTTTGGCAAAGATTAACGAATCTGGATTAGGAACCTTAACAATCGGCGATATTTGATTCTAAGGTAAACTTTAATTTGTATTTTTATGTTTAGCGGGTCTCTTCATCTCTCTTCGACTTTAGCTCATCCTTATACATGTTTTTATATCACTTTAAAACCCTTTGCTTGTCCATAATATCGATTTATTTACCCTAGGGTTTCGACCTGGGTTCACAGAGTTTGTTGGCTGTACTGTATAATTATGGTGGCCAGGAAATGGAATTTGTTCAGAAATTGGGGAGAAGGTGTTGCTTTGTCTAATCCAGGACGAAGAATCATAAAGTGGAATTGATTGAGTTCGACAATAATCACCTTGTAATTTCATCGATCATAGTTTCTTTTGCATACAATTTCATCAAAAGGTAATCATTTTGTTTAATTCTTAATAGTTTAATACATATATTTTACTCTCCCTAGTCCATAGGTATGGTTTCTCATTTTTTTTTCAAGATGGTTAAGTTTGTATTCCTTTGTTTTTTTATTTACATTGTTTATGTTTTACAAATCTTTCTTGTAACTTATTTTAAGTTTTAGTTTTTACGAATACATAAAAGAATAAATGATGAGTGTTATACATCATTACATCTTTTTTTGTCAATTATCTAAATGTTGAGGCTTTATAACACTATGTTAAATTACTAGGAAATATTTTTGAATGAAACAACCTGTGATATGCAACTCCTGAAACATGCTTTATCTATGGTTTGAAACTTTACAGAAAATAATTTTGGTGTTGTAAACTTAATGGCACTTTTTTTTGTACCGTTGATTGCCAATGGTGCCTTTAGTGGCACTTTTTTTTAGTTTTTAGTGGCACTTTTTCTGTGCCACTAAATATCATTTTATTTGTAGTGTGAACACACAGCCTGGCCGTGAACAACATGCAACCCTCCACCTTTGCTTCTAACACCCTTATTTGTAAGTTAAACTTGCAAATTAGTTTGTTTTCCTAGAATTCTTATGAGTATATTCATTAATAGTATACCTATATATTACATAAATTGTGTTTAGGACCGGTTTTGTTAACAAGACTTCACTTGTGGAGTTAACGTCCTATACCAAATCTTCAATCGAATCCCCAACATAAGGTGAGTTCATACCTCTATAATCTATCTTTTTAAATGGTTTTAAATGCTTTTTAGGGGGGGGGGGATACAAGTTGAACACAATTAAATTGTGTTAATATTTACCTGTGATAACAATCACACAAAAGGTTTTCTTATGCTTTTAAATATTGTGTTTACAATAAAAGATTACCAAATACTTCCAAAATGACTTAAAGTCATGTAAACTCTTTTTAAACACTGTTAAACTCTTTTAAATGTCTTATAAACTCTTTAAACTTATATTTGTCAAAATCATGTTTATATATGTATAAGTATATAAATAAGACTTAAAGGGCTTAGAACTAATGAATTGCCTTATTTCCTTTTCCTTGTTTGGATGTGGGCTTAAGGTGGAGTTATTTGTCCGAATGTCGTTTCCTTCTTAATTATATATATTATACATATAAGAATATAAAAGGTTACTTCAATCAATATTGTTACCTTTGTATCACGTTGAGCAAAGGGGTACATTCATGAGAGATCATGCTAATCAGATAGAACATATAAATTATAATATGTATAATTTATGAAACAAACGAGAAATCTATTTTTACTAGATAAGTATTCAAGGTTTAAACTACTTTGTTAAGAAAAGGATATAATTCAATATTTACTTAAAACTAGATAAACCAAAAATGTGAGATACTATTTCACGGCATAGCAATATACTTGTTATGTCGTGTTTTGTAACCAGAGTCTCCTGGAAGGAGAGCGGACATTGTGTGTATATATCTATACGGGACTGACAATCCCACACCTCGCTGCTAGCTACAGTGGGACATGTCGGTCTATGGGTGACAAATGTCACATCAGTTTCGACACCAGAAGGTCGTCGTGTTTATACTAGTCAATCAGCATGGTTATAACCACATCACATTTTAACCCTAATTAACCAGTTTAATTATAGGGTAGTTATTACACCAGTAGTGTATTTTTAAGAAATACTACTGCATCAATCATTTTCCATAAGCAAAACAGAAAACATTCTTCTTATAATTTTATGGTGAGTTAAAATTATGTTATCCTTTGTTATGAGTACAATAACACTTAAACGAAACGGTTTTATGGTATTAAAACTACTTTTCAGTTGTAATAGAAAATAAGGGGATTTTCTGGAACTCATTCTATCATTTTCTTAAAATTATGGCAACCATAAATGAAATTAATACTTATGAACTCATCAACTTAAATGTTGATACTCTCTTTCAAAATAACTTGTATTCTCAGGGAATCCAGTAGACAGGTACACTCCCAGAGCCTTTGAGGAGACAACCTAGTACCGTGCTGCGTCTTTTGTCTTTTACTTTATCTACTTTCGATGTCAAATGTTCAATGTTTGAACACCTATGTAAAAACTTATACATTATTAATGCAATGATTGTTGTACTTTGATTACTATAATGCATGTGTTGTTATACTTGACATGAAGTCACCCACCCCCGGACGTTTCCGCCTTTCTGGTTTGGGGGTGTGACATATTGTTTCACAACCATATTATAAAATTAGAGTATCAGAACATAATATCTCTAAAAAACATATAAACCACTAGATGAGGTGTACAGTCAAGCCTTCGTCTTCCCCCGGTCCTCTAAAGTACATGAAACATTTAAATCCACAACTGTCAGTCAAAGCTTAGTGAGTTCCCCAGTATACCTATCACAATAATACGCATACAATGCATGCACACATGAGTCTTCAGTCTGAGAGGACCGTCTCGCAAGGCCTACAATACACTTGGACTGCTCTCATGAGCTATCATATAGTTGGACCGCTCTCCTGAGCCTACAACACGGATCTAGACCGCTCTCATTGGGCCTACAATATCAACTGGAACGCCCGGGTATCCTGACCTACATCACAAAGCAAGACCTCCTCAAACCAACCACAATATATCGACATATGCTGACAAACAAACAATTATAACCAGTAAGCACAAGTAATCATAACAATTCTACTAATCTAACAGATCAGTACAACATATCAACATCCTACATATAAAGAATACATACTGCAATACAAGGTATAGTGAGAAAACTCACCTCACAGACTAGTAGACAATCAACACAGCTCGCACGAAACAAAGACTGGTGCTACGAGCCATATATATAACAATCAAAGACACATTCTCAATCTATAGCCTAAAAACCCTCCCGGTCAAAAGTTAAAGGTCAAAGTCAACCTCAGTTGACCACCACGTTGTGGCCAAACATAGGCCACATTGTGGTAGCCTCACGACAAAATAGTCACAAGACTGCCTATCACCACGTCGTGGGGATCAAACCACCATGTCGTGACACCTGTTCTAGCCAACTAAATGGATTAAGCTCTTAATCCTTAAGCTATTCATCCATACTTTCCAGGAGACTTTCTTACACCCAAATGCATCATAAAATCTTTGCTTTATGGACATGCATGTCCAATACATGTCTGTAACAACCCAACTTTTCAAAAGAAAATTTTTCATTTTAATTAATCAAACACTTTTCCATAAATCATGAAATCTCAATACAATTGTTTTCAAATTATTTCTAAACATCAGAGTGTCCCATAAAACGCCTGAGAGAGTACACGTCGCGCCATAAAGCCTTGCCCTTGCCCTTGGGCTCAGATGTACCTGAAACAAATCCACAAACTGTAAGCTAATGCTTAGTGAGTCCCCCAGAGCATACCCCACACACAATCCACATAACACATATCATATTAGCTATAAAAGCTACATATACCACATAAGCCATGCATACTAACGTATAAGGATGCCGTGGGCTCCCCCAAGGTCTTATACCTTCATGCCATGGGCTCCCCATATGGTCTTTACCTAGGAATGCCATGGGCTCCACCACATGGTATTATATCCAACTGCCACGGGCTCCCCCAAGGTCTTCCATGCAATAACATACATAATCAACTAGCATATCATATATCACAGAAGTATCTATCATACTACATAACACATACATAAACATATAAGGATGTCGTGGGCTCCTCTTAGGGTCTTATACCATCATGCCATGGGCTCCCCCACATGGTATTTACCTAGGAATGCCACGGGCTCCCCCACATGGTCTTATATCCAACTGCCACGGTTCCATGCAAATATCACATAATCACTAGCATACCACTTAGCATAAAGCTAACTATCATACCACATATCTCCACTACAGCTAGTGTACCACATATCATAAAATGGGTCGACCTTGGTGCCGTAGACCCATTGGTATAGTGAGAAGACTCACCTCTCGTGTGTTGAACTAAGATCAGATATGTCCCACGCGATGCTCCCCCTCAACTGCCTATAACCAACATGTGATTAATTTTTCATGATCCCAGAATACCATAAATACCCTCAAAGTCAACCCTGGTCAACCCTGGTCAAAGTCCAGGTCAACAGTCAAGGTCAACAGTCCATGTTGACCTTAACTCGTGGAGTGCATCCAGCAACTCGTCGAGTTCCTCCCAAGTCCATTCCTCTGAATCCCGCATCAACTCGTCGAGTCACCCTAGTGACTCATCGAGTTCCTCAAATGTCCTGAAAACTAGATTCCGTTCAGACCAAAGCCCTAATCCTTCACTGCACTCATCCAGAAACTCAGAAATGGGCAAACCCTACCTCGACTCGTCAAGTCAGCTAAGGGACTCGACGAGTTCCTTCAGTCCTTTCCAAGTTCAGCCCTTTTCAATGGGATCTAAGGTCCCAAACTTCAGATCCAAGGTTGATCTAGGGTTTTCTCTGACTATTAGAGTGATAAGGGAGGCCACAAGAAGTGGATTATGTTCTTTAAATAGGGTGCAAACCCTAAAAATTAGGGTTTCTCTTTACAGCTCCTCCTCGTCGAGTCGGGGCCTTCCGACTCATCGAGTAGAACCCAAATCCCGCATCCTCATAATAGTCTCTACTCGACGAGTTGAAGCACCCCAACTCGCCGAGTCCATGCACAAACCCCTAAAATTATATAAATTAATCAATACCTGGAACAGGTGTTACAATGTCTTTTTCAAGTTAGGTAAAAAATGAAAGAAATGAACTCAAAACTCATGCATGAGATCATTGACTCCATAAAATACTAGATCTAGAGCATATAACCACAAATGGACCTCAAGGATCCATAAAGTTGCCAACTTTATGGAATCCATCCATCCAAAATATCAAGAACATGAAGAACAACAAGCTTTTAAACCTAGATTTAAGAGGAGTGTACACAAAAGATAGAGACTTGTGGATTTGCAAGAGTCCATAATGAATGCAAGAAAGTGATGAGGAGGTTTGCGTGTTGGATCTATGCACCATGATCAATTTCTTCTTCTTCAAGGCACCATAAAACACCACAAAAGCTCAAAATGTCAACAATGGAGGCTAGGGTTTGCTTTAGGTCGAAAGGATGTGATGGAGGCTGAGAGTGAGAAAACTTAAATAGGCCTTAAAACCCAAAAAGATTAGGCTTTGCATGGTGGCCACCACAGCGTCGTGGCCTAGACCTTGCCACATCATGGTGTCCAAAAAGATGTGTGTTCTCATCGACTGATTCCACGTCGTGGTGTATTCACCACCACGTTGTGGACAACTAAAATCCTATATTAAAGTCTTAATTGCTAAGAACACAAAAGAAATATATATATATATATATATATATATATATATATATATCTAAACTGGTGTTACAATTCTCCCCCACTTGAACTAGATTTCGTCCTTAAAATCCTCAATCTAGAAAAGATATAGGTAGTGCTCGCGCATCTCTGCCTCGGGATCCCAAGTCCAATATGAGACCTTCTAATGTTTCCACTAAACCTTAGCCAAGGGCATCACCTTGTTGTGTAAGTCCTTAGTCTTCCTATCAACAATCGTCACTGGTCTTTACACGTAGTTCGAGTGCTCGTCGATCTGGAAGTCATCTAACGGGATCACAACTATATCATCCACTAAGTACTTTCGAAGCTGAGAGATGTGGAAAGTGCTATGAATTTAGCGAAGCTCCTCTGGTTAATCCAACCGGTAGGTCAGCTTGCCCACTCTATCCACGAATCAGAATGGTTTGATAAATCTGGGGCCCAACTTGCCCCGCTTCCTGAAGCGTATAACACCCTCCAAGGGTGATACCTTCAGCAATACCATATCACAAACCTGAAACTCCAACTCCAAACATCGCTTGTCAACATAACTCTCCTGTCTACTCTGTGTTGTCTATAATCTCTATCTGGTCTGTTGGATGAGCCTCGTCGTCTAGAGCACTACCTCGGTGCTCCCCATGACCTTAAGGTTGACCTCTCCAAACAAATTTGGGTCTGATACCTCCTCCCATAAAGAAGCTCATAAGAAGGTGCACCAATGTTAGAATGATAGATGTTTTTGTACGAAAACTCAGTCAAATGAAGGTAGGAGTCCCAACTCCCACTAAGATTGATAATGTAGGCTCTCAACACATCCTCGAGCGTCAGAATAGTCCGCTCATTATGCTCATTTATCTGCAGATAATATGCAGTACTAAAAAACAATCTAGTATCCAACTCATCATGGAACCTCTTCCAAAACCGGAAGTGAATGAAACATCTCGATCACATACAATGGAAATAGGTAAACCATGACGAGCAATGATCTCTTACACGTAGATATCGACCAATTTTCCGGCCGAGGAACTCTCCTGAATAGCAAGGAAATGGGCACTCTTGGTCACGAGGTTGACAATCACCCAAGTAACGTCGAATCCCTTAGTCATCCTTCGTTGTTTTGTGATAAAATTCATGGTGATTTGCTCTCATTTCCACATAGGAATCTATAAAGGATGCAACTTGTCGTGCGATCTCTAATGTTCGGCCTTTACCTTCCGACATGTCAAACACCTCTCAATAAATCAAGCCATCTCTCTCTTCATGCAAGGCCATTAGTAACAAATATTGATTATAAAAAAATTAGGGTAAATAGGATATTATGCATGTTTATATAGGATATATATATGATATTTAGATATTAGACAAGATAAATATGATATTTAATTGTTTATTTAGGACATACATAAATTTTTTCCGTAGTTAATTTTGTTAATTGCGTCTTTCATAAGGGTTAATATTTTAATTTCAATATAATAAAAAGGAAAAAAAACACAATTCTAGACATGAAGAATATGAACAAAACATAAAACCTAGTAGATGATAAGAAAAAGGTTATAGTGATTGCTCTCATCCTTGACGAACCGGCGTCATTCTTTTGGTTTTTGTTATCAGGTAGACTAATCCTCTGGTGCATATAAAATTAAATCGCCTATATGAACAATTGGAGTCATAAAGTATATCAACTAAACGCGGAAATTAAAAGATTGGGTTTTTCTTATAATCATAAAATTCTGGGTATCAATCGATGTTTGTGGGTCTTGGGTTCTGTTAAGAAATTATGACTTTTTTTGTATCTAAATCTATTTGGCAGGGTGATTTGAGATATGAAGAAAATTACACAAATAGAGAAGAAAGAGTATGATATTTACACCTATCTATAGTACATCTGGATTAAATCCATTGTTCAAAGGACCATATACTATCTCTCAGATGAGACAATAATTTAGAAGTGGAAAGATCAATAAAGATACAAATGTTTTCAATGAAGAAGAAAGAAATACACATATGATCGATCCAAGCCCTTTTTCTTTGTTTCTTAGACTAATGCATGATCAAGCTTTTTCTTGTAAATGCTTCGATTTTGAACTTAATCTGAAAGATAGAATGATTAACCAAAAACAAGAAGATATAGAAGATATATAGAAGAAACAAGTAGAAAAGGAGAATGTGATAACATATTTGAGAGAAAATCTTAAGGAAAAAGAAATCAGTAAGAAGAACCTTTCATCTATAAGTGTTCAAACAAAAGAGACACCTCCAAAAAATCCTTCGACAAGAAACCCTAAAACAAAATTATATGAAATAGCACTTGATTAAGTCTGAGTTGATGAATTCCAAGCTCAAAAGTGTCACGCTAAGAGATTCCAAGTTGATAGTTCTCCGACTAAAAAACCTCAAGCTAAGAGAACCAAAGTTGAATCATCCCAAGCTAAAAGACCTCTAACTTTTAATCTCAAGCTGACAAACCAGAAGCTAAAAAACAAGAAAACTTTTATAGAAACCTGTTCTACATTCTCTCTTCGGCCTTCATGCCAACTAATAGTTTTACCTATAATGTAACCTCCTCGTGTACGGTTAATCTATTTTAACAATTATAGATTTTGCTCCGTTCGTTGAGCCACCCTTAGTGCCGGTGCACAACAATTACCCATTGCAAATTGCAATTATAAAAATTGTGAAACTTTACAAATCGTAAGCTGAGAGATTTGTCAAAAATCTTTGTTGAAGAATAGATGACTTTCTTTTTTCTGCAATTAGATTTGTCTCTATTAAAATCATAGCCTAATTTATATATATATATATATATATATATATATATATATATATATATATATATATATTTGATTGTAAAGAGTATATAATAAGTGTATTTGATTTATGTTTTGTTGTTGCGATTGACTTTTTCCAAATGGACATGTTCCCCTAAATATACTACTTAAATAACATAAATTATTAGGGTTGTCAATTCTCGACACGACCCGTGACCCGACACGAAGATAAACGAGTTTGGGTTGAGTTTTTCAATCTGCCAACCCGTTTATTAAACAGGTCGTATTTGGGTTCGCCAAAAAATACAAGGGTTGACTCGTGACTCGTTTATGATTTTTACATATATATATATATATATATATATATATATATATATATATATATATATATATATAATGTTCTACGTAGGATACGTAAATACTAAATACTAAGTTTTCTAAAATGTTTTTGGTTGGACGAGTTTAGACGAATGTTTTTAACTTTTATTTGGATTCTTAAGGCATAAATTTTCTAAAATTTGGCTATGTTTGCATCGTTTAAAATTTCTAGAATGTATTCAAGTCTAATTATCAATTTTAATTATGGAATCTGACCTACGAACACAAACCTGACCACAAACCCACAAACCCGTTTCACGGGTCGTATATGGTTTTATGTTTCAAACTCATCAATCTGTGACCTGTATAGTCAAATGGGTTTGTTTGTGTTGGTGTATTCTGACCCGCTAACCAGAATACAACACGATTGTCAGACCTATAAATTATCATTTAGATAACTTTTTTTTTTTGGTATAGACCGGCCGAAATTATTACAATTTCACAATGACGTGTTTGGGGGTAAGGTGGTTATTTTTTTTAAATAGAAGGGAAAATGGTTATTTTTGTTGATTGCATCTTTCATTAGGGTTGGTTTTATTAGTTTCATTATAATAAGCGAGGACAAAATTTACAGACACGAAGGATATAAATAAAACATAAACCCTACTAGATGATAATATTTTTTATAGTGGTTGCTCTCCCCCTCGACGAACCGGCGCCGGCTCACGATTTTTGTAATCAGGTAAATCCTCTCGTGCGTGTAAAATTAAATCCTGGATACCAACAATTGGATGCATAATTAAAGTAGATCAACTAAACTCGAAATTACAAGATTGGGTTTTTCTTATAAGTATGAAATTCTGTGTATGAATCGATGTTTGTGTGTCTTGGGTTCTGTTAAGAGAAATTTGATTTTTTTTTTTCTGTATCTAAATCTTTTGAGGGATGACTCTGGGCTTTAATTAATTCATGGTGCACTAAAAAAGTCAGTATGTTTTACTGGCTTCTCTTTAATTACCTATATTTTGGATAAGGATATTTGACCCTGGACTGTATGCAGCCAAACATGATTTGAAGCTGTGTTTTGTACGTTTATAGTTGATATTGTTTTAATGATTTCATATTTTAATATATGAGCAAGTTAAGTGTGGAAATTTGATGATGTCCTATATTATGGGTGTGTTTGCAGGGATGAGACCAGAAGTAGAAGATGTTCACAAGTTGATGCAGAATATACAATCACGGTTGCCTGTAGAAGAAGCGGCCCGCATGAGCGTGTTGTCCAAGTCATGGCTACATGCTTATTCTACCATCCCTACCCTCAGGTTCGATGTTCGAAGAGGAAAGAGCATGGAGTTAGTGGACGTGGACCACACTGTGATAAGGTATCTCCGTGACAACATACCAATCCAAAGGTTTGACCTTAAGATGGACGTGGAGATTCCCAGCTGTTGATGCTAACTTTTTTCTTAAGATGAGGGAAGCACTCACGTTATCACGCAACTGCTACCTTGATATAGCAACTGCCAATTACTCTAAGCTGCCATGGGACATCAACATCAATGATCTAAGAAAAAGGCTCCTGCTTCCTCCTGCCAGGAACGTGCCACAACTGTCATTTAAAACGATAGGGGATGAATGCCTGTGGGAACGTTCTCCATTTTTTGATGCATTCTTTGAGATTTGCCATCCCGAGCACGTATTAGCAAACCCAGACATGCACAACAGCCACAACAATCACTTTTGCAGACTCATGTCAGGGAGTTCTTGGAGAAGAAGAAGAAGACCAGAACCGCGTATTGGCCTCATTACCTCAAACATGTTCAAATAAGACTGGATCCTCACCAAGAATGGAAAACCCTAACAAATTCCCACACAACTTTCTAGACGGGTCGGCACCTCATGTCTACCTCCAGTTCAAACTAAAGTGGCTTTAACGATCATCTCCGGCATGGGTCATTTGTTTTACTATTACATGTTCTAATTTTCGTTTTGGTGCGTTTCAAACATATTTAATTAAACATATAATTATGAATGCTATATATATTTTTTTATTTTAACATGATACTGTGATGCTTTTTTCACCATACATAGAATTTTCTTTTTAACAACATATGCTAAACTACCAGGTCGCTATTAATTAGTGATTTGGTATAAATAAAGAAATTTGATAATTATGTTTTGCCTTTGAATTTTATGAACTACCACTCTACTTTTCAAAATTTATGTTTTCATTTGAGCCTACTTAAAAGATTCGACTGCCAATTTAGCTTAACATATCACGTATTTAGAATAATTAATTAAGCTACAATGTAAAAAAATTTATACACTGGAGTTAGTCATTGTCAGTTTTATTTTTGCTTTTATAAATGTATGGAATTGCAATGATTGGGATCAACTTAATAATCAAAATCAACTTGTGTACAGATCTGCTATAATCATTCACTTGTGCATACCTATTTTCATAAATTTTTTAATAAGCAGCCATTTTTCTAAATTTTTAATAAACCAACATTGCATTGTGTAAATTGATGTCACATACATTATTTCTTTAGCATTTTAATATTTAAGAATAGAGTAAATAACACGAATGGTCCCTATGGTTTAGGGTAATTTGCACGTTTGGTCCCTAACTTACTTTTTTAACTCGGAAGGTCCCTACTGTTTGTTTTTGTTACACGATTGGTCCCTACTATTTGTTTTTTTTACGCGCTTGGTCCCTGTCTTACCTAAAAAAACTATTATTTAAATAGAGAAAAAATGGTGAGATAGGTAAGGTAAGGTGAGGGGGTTGGGTTGGGAGTGTGTTTATTGAAATAAATTAAAAAATCAAGGGCAAAATAGTCTTTTTAGGTAAGACAAAGACCAAGCGCGTAACAAAATCAAACAGTAGGGACCTTCCAAGTTAAAAAAATAAGTTAGGGACCAAACGTGCAAATTACCCTAAACCATAGGGACCATTCGTGTAATTTACTCTTAAGAATAACAAAATATGTGATACGATGTTATACTATTTCTTTTACATCAAATATGATGTTAAACTTTTATATACACATCTTGGCCTATATTTTTCTTTTTTGTTTTTTAGATGGATATTTAATATTTGTTAGTTGTAATAATACTATATTATATAGATCAATAGGGTCGGCAAGTGTAACACCCTAAATCTTGATGAACAAATGTAAGGAATGAATCCCATTTTGGGGGTGTGTTTATTGAAATAAATTAAAAAAATCAAGGGCAAAATAGTCTTTTTAGGTAAGACAGAGACCAAGCGCATAACAAAATCAAACAGTAGGGACCTTCCAAGTTAAAAAAATAAGTTAGGGACCAAACGTGCAAATTACCCTAAACCATAGGGACCATTCGTGTAATTTACTCTTAAGAATAACAAAATATGTGATACGATGTTATACTATTTCTTTTACATCAAATATGATGTTAAACTTTTATATACACATCTTGGCCTATATTTTTCTTTTTTGTTTTTTAGATGGATATTTAATATTTGTTAGTTGTAATAATACTATATTATATAGATCAATAGGGTCGGCAAGTGTAACACCCTAAATCTTGATGAGCAAATGTAAGGAATGAATCCCATTTTGAGGACTGGACACAACGTGTTTGAGGAACCAACACGGCATGTCTAGTTAAGGAAAAACATGGTTCACATTAAGGTCAACATGATGTGTTGGTGTCTAAACACGACGTGTTGGAAGCTGGGAAGGAAACCCTAATTTTAGGATGCTGAACCCTATATAATCTCTTTAAGCCCCAAGGGTTGGTCTCCATACCAGCCTCCATTGCCACTAAAACCCTAAAATCGATCCCTAAGTCTCTTGGTGGTGTTTTTGAGCAAGTAAGAAGCTTTTGGTGCTTATTTTTGGGCTTTGTGTAGGAAAAGGAAGATCTTGAAGTTGTCTTGCTTGGTGGATTGGCCTTGGATCCATAATCATCATCTTGTGGGAAAACTTTCTGAGGTATCAAGTTTGCATCTTGGCTTTTAGATGTCTAGATCTCTTCATTTTGTGCCTTGTTGTGCTTTTAATACCTTTTTGGGTTGGTGAGAGTGTGAAGTCGTTTAAGGGCTTGTTATTCCAGATCTGAGTTTGTTTTGGTCCCTTTGAGCATAAAGGTGCAAGCTTTATGAGATTTATGGTGTCATGCATGCATTGAGTCAATTATTAAGTCCCTTTAAGCTTAAGAGCTTCATCTAGATATGCATGAATGTAAAGTTGGCAACTTTACATGGTTTCCAGCTCAAGGAAGTCAGATCTATGTTTTGGGGCTATGTCTTCAAGGATTAAGTGCTTATTGGTTAAGCCATTGCTCTATTAAGCCTTTTTGGTTGGGTTTGGACCCTTTTTGGTAATCCCTATGGGTAAAAATGGAAACTTTACCCTTTTAAGTCTCATTTTGGTCTAGATCTGAGCTTTGGAGCTCTTGGAATCAGAGATAGTAGCTTAATGTATTAAGGTGTGAAAACTTGGGCAAACACAACGTGTTGCAAGCCAACACGACGTGTTGGCTGGGGTTTTCCCGATTATCTGAATGATGGAAGAACACGACATGTTTACTCAACATAAACTGTTGGCTTTAACTTTGACCAGAAGTTTGATCAAGGTTGACCATGAGTTATGTTGGATTATGTTTGGGGCCTAATTTGGAAAATTGGGCCAAGAATGGGCCTTGAGTGATTATTTGGTTTTGGGCCTTCTAGATTTTTAGTTTGGGCTTTTGTCTTGGGCGAAACTAGGTGAGGGGTAAAATGGTCTTTTTACCCCAAGAATGGACTGTTGGACTTATGGTTATGGATTGGGACCCAAATGTTGATCGGATGTTGTTTTGATATTGATAGTTCGGGGATCTGTCAGCCAACAGCCATGGATTTTCTATGCGTTTTGGCAGTGCGAGGCGAGTCTCCTCACTGTGTTTAAAAGGTCGAAGGCACCAATGTCGGCCCATGGTTATTATGTTAGGATGCCAGTTGTCTGCATGACTCTTTCATGTGTATGTATTGGTATGCATGTTGGGCGGGGCCTGATTGTTATTCTGTATGCTAGTATCAAGTTATACATATATGATTTTTATACGGGTGGGGCCCAATGATTGTGCAGTATGCTACTATCTTTGTGATTTTCGCATGTGTTTGAATTTTATATGATTATATGGTTATGCGAGTGTGGGCGGGGCTCGTATCTCAGTGGGCGGGGCCCATTATGTGAGTATCGACGGGGCATGTATCTCAGTGGGCGGGGCCTGTTATGTCATAAGTTATGAGTGGTATGTGGTATCTTGGGGAACTCACTAAGCTTTGTGCTTACGATTTTCAGTTTATGTTTCAGGTACTTTGGTTTTCAAATGGAAGAGCTCGGAATGATTGCAGAGCACACACCACATGTTTCCGCATTCTGTGATTTACTCTGATTCGATGATGTTTTCCTAAATCTTGATTACCTTGGTTTTATGGAAATGATATGTATTAACGATTTATTAATCTAAAAACGAAAACTTTATGTCATTATTTTTGGGACGTTTCAGCAAGCCGGGAGACGGCCCCAGGCCTCGTCACAGCTTGGGGCCCCAAAATAATTTATGCTTAGTATTTGATCACTACTAGAAAAAAGGTGTTTTGCTACTGAATACCTACGGAATGGGATGCCCTAATTTAGTAACGGGATAGCTACAGAATAGCGACATAAATGAATTCGTAGCTATTCCTTAGGTAATTAATAGCTATAGAAGTAAATCCGTAGGTAATTAGCTACAAAATAACCATGAATTACCGACAGAGGAAAATAGCTACAGAATAGCTACGGAATACCACTGGATTTATTTTAATTTCCATTATTATTGTTATTATTATTATTATTATCATCATTATTATTATTATTATTATTCATTAATATTCGTCTTAAACTTTTTTTTGAATCACTTTTTTTGCATATTTAAGACACGAACAATTAAAAATTATACTAATAATAATATTTATAAACATAATGATAATATATAATATGGTAACGAATGTGCTTAACACACAAACGATTAAACGAAAAAAACTACGTTTAACATACCAATAAGGTGAAATAATCCACGTGTAATGTATAAATAATGAAAATTGATGATAATAAGGGGAAATATGTACATTTGTATGTGTATGTATGTATTTATGTATGTATGTATGTATGTGTATGTATGTATATGTATGTATGTGTAGTACGTGTATGTGTGTGTGTATATGTATCTGTGGATGTATATATATATATATATATATATATATATATATGTGTGTGTGTGTGTGTGTGTGTATGCATATGTACGTGTATGTGTGTATTTTCATGTGTATGTGTATATTTATGTGTGTGTATATATGTATGTATGTATGTGTATGTATTTGAATGTGTGTAAGTATATATATGTGTGTATGTGTATGTATTTGAGTGTGTATGTTTATGTATATTTGTATATGTATGTATGTGTTTATGTATGTGTGTATGTGTATGTGTCTATATGTATGTGTATCAAAAATCACAAGTATTAATAGAAATTACAATGTTAAACCATGAAACGAGTAAAGGATATCGAAGGTGCACATGCCTTTATGAACGATATTAATAGTTATAAGTTGGTGAAAGTATAGATAAACATGTATAATAGAGGTATGAAAAAAACGACGTTCGGTGCCCAAAAAATCGAAAATAAGAAAAATCCGCAGCTAATTACCTACCGATTAGCTACGAAAAAGGCTTTCCGTCATAAATCCGTGATTTTTCTTATTTACGATTTTTCGGGCACCGAATATCGTTATTTCCGCTTCGTTTTTTCACA